GAAAAAAAAGACTAATTATGCCTAAGGAGAAAATGAAAAAAAAAAAAAAAACCCTGTAGGTTTTCATTATTGTAGGCAATTATGTCTACATCACTTACAAAGCTACTGCCAAATCTGTCCAAGGAAGCTAAGTTTTAAAGGTGGAAAAAACTCCTAGAGAAAATCCAACAGTGGCATAGCAGAGCTCTTAGTATGAGAAAGCAGACACAATGTGGAGTTTTGCTATGAAATTTCTTTGCAAAATATGGGGTTTATCAATGGGCAGAAAATAAGAAAAGGCAATGCAAAGTAAGCTTTTGCAGTCAATTTTCCTCACAATATTCTTCAGGGTCATAAGGAAAATGCTTCGTCTTTCTCTGGAATCAGTTTCAGAACTTTTTCAATTCCAATAATTTTACACTCCTCTCTTAAAGTAAAAGAACAAACCTGAGGGAAGTCTTTAAAGGTCTCAAGACAGATGGTTCCTGCTGCCCTCGAATGAAGAATGCATACTTGACCCTATTTCACAAAACAGGATCAGGTCTTACTTTTCCTCCTGATTTTTGCTCTATCAAACTTATTTCATCTTCCTGAATACAGGTATGAATATGCAGCACAACATTATACCCTGGCCAGATGATGGACTTGTGCTCTATAATCACTACTTGGGCATCAAACGTGCATCCAGAATGACAAAGGTTAAGGTCACAGAGCATGAATCCTGAAAGAATCTCCTCCTCTTCAATTCCTTTCAGTCTGAATTTGAGGTTTTTCACCCAGAGCTACAGAATCAGTTTCTGTATCATCAGAAAATATTCTGAGAACTTCCATGTTGTGCTGGTTTGGCATTAGAAGCTGCTGGCCTTTAAAAACAGATCCAAATTCCAGCTTTCCCAGGACTACAGTACCCTTATCCTTGTACTTATTGACCTGGTCTACTGAAGTCTAGCAAATTACCTAGGTATGGAATAAATGGTAAACGATGTACCAGGACACTGAGATTTGCTCTTGTTGGTCCTGAGCAGGGAATAAAATGAAACCCCTTTTTGGGATTGAAACCAACCTTTTTCAAAACTGACACTAAGTTCTCTTTACATTCTTCTTATCTTTCATTGTTCCAATTTACCATTGGATCATCCATCTTATTAAAAGCAAAATCAAGCATTTTACACCTGCTGTCTTTGTTAACACTGGGTGTTCTTTCATCTGACCTCCTTTTATAAATCCAGTTTCAAACTTTCCTTTCCTGGCTGAGATTACCAGCATAGCCAAGTTAGCCTGAGAAGCACTGACCAATCATATTTGGGACAAAACTCTTGTGGTCTTGTGGTCAGAGGCACCTAGTTGTGAAATGCTTATGACCCACTTTTACTGTTTTACCCTTGTCTTGTTCTTCCCAATTTGTATCTTAAGGCCTAAGACAAGTACCAAATTTCTCTCTTTAAGGCTCTCTTTCATATTTCTCATGTGTTTTTGTCAACAATTTCAGTCAATTACATTATCTGTTTTCCAATGGTAGACCTCCCCTCATCTACATGACCAATGAACACATTTTCACATGCTTAATTTGGAGCACCTGGAACACCTGGCAGCACAACCACTGATTTAGGGTTTAGTATTTCTTTTTCCTCCTCCATTATTTCTTGGGTATTTGGCATTCTTCCACCTCCTGAGGAACCAACCCTGGCTCTGATTCATTTATTTTTTTGTGTGTGTTCCCATGATTCTTCTGGGGACATTTCTGTCTCTGCATTTTCTGCATCAGGTCCTGAAAGTTCCATGCTAACACCTTCACATAATAATGATTGCTCCCTAGAGGATTCCATAGGTGCTGAAGGGTCAGTCACCCTTGCTGTTGCCTGCTCTTTGGTCCTTGGCTGGAGATCACCATGTCTGGACTGGATCCCAAAGGAAAAACTGACAAATTCTGGCAAGAACGATGGACAGGAAGGGCTTTGCGTTGACCCTGAGTTGTAAGCTGAAGGCCATGCTGAGGTTCTCACACTGGGCCTCTACTGCTGAGGCCATGGAGCTGCAGCAAAGGTCAAGGGCCGAAGGCAGAGTCCTTGCTGCTGCTTCTGCCCTTGTCACCTCCATTGCTGGGATCCCTGATACGTATGTGCTTTAGAGGGAGCAGGAAATTGTGATGGGGCGGTCAACCTTGGAGGAGCGGGTCACACAGACCCAGGAAGGAGCACAAGACTGTGGGGCCAGTGGCTACTGTGGGGCCAGTGGCTAAGAACTTTCTCCCTGGCATCTTGGGCAGCAGAGACTCAACTCTTCTAATGTATGTAAGAGGGTTTCTTGCCATCCAACTCCAACTACCTCCAACTACTCTATTTTTCGACTGTACTTTTGCCTTGGTAGTTCCAGGATCTACAATTTTTTACTTCAATTACTATATATTCTAGTTGTATAATTTCATTATTTTTATAAAATTTTATTTATTATAACCTTAGCTTTTTTCTAGGTTTCATATAAAAAAGCTTAATTTTACAAACATTTCTATGACTGTTTGAAAATCTTTATCAATAATTATCAACATTTAATTATGTTAATATTATCCTCTGCTGGTTTTTTCTCTTTCATGTTGTGATTTTCCTAGTTCTTGGTAAGATAAGCATTTTCTACCATAGCCTAGGTATTTTGAGATATTGACACTAGGTTCTAGACTCTCAGTGTCACAGTGAGCCTGGCCAATAACATCTTAGCTAAAATGGCTATTGAATCATACTTTCCCAATGAAGATGAAAGGTATGTAAATTCAGTCCCACCACCAGCTCCTCAGAAACTTCCTGCTGGGCCTCTCTGGCATAGCTGAGAGGAAACAGGAAAACAAAATGCCAGTTAGCCCCAGAAGCAAAGACTTGGCTATCTATGAGAGATAACAGAGTAGGAATGAAGCCTATTAGTCCTGCCTGCTCAAATTAACTTGCTAAGTCTCGCTGATACTGGCCAGAAGTAGAGGATCAGCTCCTAGCTAGTCACATCCTAACAGCAATATTAATTCCTCCTGCTTGGTGAGAGTTGGAAGATGAATTGTCTAGGTTCAATATTTAGAACCATCACAAAAATACTTAAAAAAGATCATTTGCGTTCTCAAAACTGCCAATAATACCCTAGCATAGGGATAAGATTCTTGCAGCCTACTTTTGTTAGAGTGTACTGACAGGTTCCTAGTGGTGGTGAGGGATCCAACAGTGTTTGGCTGGAGTAGGTACTATCAAAAGATTTTGTGTTGTTTTATTTTCTTTCACCCAATCCTTTGGCTAGGGAAAACAGACTTGCTTGGATCCCCGTTCCTGTGCTTACTGTCAGTTCCAGCTCAGAGGCTTTCAGAGGACCCTGTCTGGGACACATATTAGATGTAATTAGGAAACTTACCGCTACTTCACTCCTTAAGTCTTTAGACAGTAAATTTCATTCTTGTACTTTTGCTCCCACACTTATCTGTTATGTTAGAGCTAGGATATTTAAGTTTTAAGAGCACAGAGTTATGAGGAATAGGGCCGTTATATCTTGATAGATCTGGAAGTTCTTTTATTATATGCAATTTGAATTCTACACAGTGTACTGTACATTAGCTCATAAGAACTGTCTCACATATCTTGGTATCTTCTGCATGTATCTTATATAATTCTTCTGCCATAGTGGATATTTGATAAATGTTCAACACCAGATATTCTTTGTGTGAAGACATGCAAGTACATGAGGGATATTGAGGAGGGATATTCACAGATGGCAAAGGAGATGGGTTACTCATCTGCATGGATGGAGTTGCTCTTATATGACATACTTGTGGATTAATCATCTTACAGAGTAACATTGTTTTGATTCTTGAAGTGTGCCATGTGTGTACAGCGCTCATGGGGCCAGAAGAGGGCACTGGATCCCCTGACTGGAGTTACAAATGATTGTTAGCTGCCATGTGGGTGCTGGGAACTGAACCCAGCTCCTCTGCAACAGCAGTCAGTACTCTTAACCACTTAGACATCTCTCCCGCCCACAAGTATGAGTTCTTAATAAATCATTTGATCTAGCTTAATTTGTTCAATTTTTCTTGGGTTCTATCCTTTTAACTGAGAGGATATTTCTAAGTCCAGTAGAATAATTCTCAACATGCTTGCAACTGAAATTATATTGACAAAACAGTGGCATATAGCTCTTCATAGAAACTTTTTCTTGTTGAGATACAATATACAGGAGACAATTTAAGACCTAAATTTCTGTCACAATGGTTTTCCAATCTTTGAAGATACATCTTGGATCACATATTCTACGATATCCCCTGGTACTTGTCTGTTCTCCTTATTAGCATCCCCCAAAATACAAAATGGGTTATAGTCAAGAAGGTCACTTTTAAAACTTCTTAGGTGGTCTCAGGATATTACTATTAATTAAAGTAAGATGTTACAAATCATGCTACAATTTCAACTATTCTGTGGTGGAGGCAGTGATTAGTAAGGACATAAAAAACAAAGCTAGTCATTTGTTCACCCCTATTATGTCAGTCAAAATTTATGGTCTTTGACATTCAATACTGAAGGTTATAAGAGAAAAGAAGATTGGTCAAGATTGTAGGAATCTTAATAAATTTGCTCTTAGTCTCTCAAGTGTAGAACACAAATGCTCTGAAAGACCAAGATAAAGAAGCACTCAACTGATTCCATGGGTGTCTTTGAGACACATATTTATTGTTTGTTACAAAGAAAAAGTAAACTGTTGATCATGTTTTTATAAATCAGAGACATGACTTGAAGCATAATTATCCTTCCTTCCTAATTTTATTATGCTCACACTTTTTCAGCCAGTACATAAAGAGCTTGATATACGAAACGAGCAGTTGTTTACTTCTCAGTCTAGTTGGCACAACAAAAATGTGGATGGTTTTTAAGCACATGCTGTCTCTGGAATTCCGACTGTGTAGTCACACTGCCATCTAGTGGCTACAGGAAGATTATGGTTAATAAAGGTAAGGTAAATCCACACATTTCCACTTCTATCAAAAGTTTTGTACTTACTTGGATGCTTTATTGATTCCAAAAGCCACTTGTTGGTTAAGAGATGTGATGATTTTGTCTTTCTTTTTAATCTGCATTTGATTTTCTTGCCATCGAAATGTCACTGTTTTCAATTGCCTTTTGTAATCCTGATCAGTGAAAAATGTTATTTCACAATATTCAAGTCACCAAAAATTGAAAGACAAAAATCCAAATTGAGTTTTAAAAAGGTCATTACGTTAAACATTTGAAGTCCTTCCTACTTCTCTTAGATCTAATGACAAAAGTACTCACTTCACACTGATAGTGCAATTTATAGAGTTGATGCTGATGAGCCTCTCTTTCTTTTTCCGTTTCTCTGTAGTCTGTAGTTACCTTTCCAGATGAGCCCTGAAACAAATGGAGTAAGAATTTGTTTCATTATAAAAGACACTAATATTTTATATTCACAGGGGCATAAAGTTGTGATCCATAATAACCCTTATTCATGCTGTATTTCTCTAATCATAGCATTCATTGAGTAATACAACAGCTGCTACTGCTAAGTGTGACACTCAAGTTTGCCACTTTTGGGTAGGTTTTGTGATGCTTCTTATTGCTACAAGAACCATAGGAGGTGGACACATTATTTTTCACCTTAAGATGATAAAATGAGTAAATAACTTGCCCAAGGTCATGAACGATAAATGGAGAGGCGTGAATTCTAATTCAAGTAATATCAATTAGCCAATTAAGTATTACACTATTACCAACTCAACTGCAACATTTCTACTAGATTTTAAACAGTACCCTAAAATGGAGCATACTTTAGCACACCTCAACAATGGCTTTTAAATAAGAAACATTTTCTGGGGCTGGAGAGATGGCTCAGCGGTTGAGCACATTGACTGCTCTTGCAGAGGACCTGGGTTCGAGTCCCAGCACCCACATGGAGGCTACGAACCGTCCTTAACTCCAGTTCCAGGGAAATACGAAGAGCTCTTCTGACCACAGCACTGCACGACATGGGTGTACACACATGTAGGCAATACACTCGTACACATAAAATAAAAATAATAAAGTATTTTAAAAAAAAGAAACATTTTTTGAAAAGTGTGACACTTGCTTCTCATTTTGAATTTTTACAATTCTCCTGGTTATGGAATGAATATCAATGTCTCCATATTTAAATTTCAGTGTTCTACCCAAAGCTAAGAGTATGTCAATTTAATTAAAATATACATAATCTACTATTGCAGCTAGAAAGGAAGAAAAAAGGCATGATAATTCTGTAATAGTTATATAGCCAGGGATTCATTGAGATCAACTTTATCCTTAGGAAGTGCATAACTCTATGTGATATATACCAAAATTTAAACCACAGAGCAGCCTATCACTGACTTCGAATGGGTAAATAAAACAAATTTTCTTAATCTTTCATTTGTTTTGTAAAATTAATTGCTCTTTTTTTTGAGCATTTACATTCTTATGTGTCTTTACATATAGGTGTGCCATTTGAAGCAGTGGCTGTTACCAGAAAAGGAGTTAGAAAAAATTGCTGTATATTCGTATAATTTGTAGCTATTTCATGGTTGCAACCAAATTTAAATTTAAAAAATCAAAGTAGGTTTGTTTTACAAAAATACATCACTAGAGCTGGAAAGTTGGCTCAGTGGTTAAGAGCACTGACTGCTCTTGCAGAGGACCCAGGTTTGATTTCTAGCATCACATGGCAGCTAACAACCATCCTAACTCCAGTTCCAGGGGATCTGATGCCCTCTTTTGACCTGTGCGGGCATTGCACAACATGGGTGCACTTATGTGCATGCAGGCAATATACTCATACACAGAAATTTTTTTTTTCTCATGACATTTAATCCAGTGGGATTATGCTAGGTTTTGATGTGGTTTTCTCCCTCTCCTTTGTACTATTCAGAAACATTTTTTGCAAGGAATGCTTTTTTAATTAACTTTGCCCAGTAGTTAAAGTCAGGTAATGGTCTGAGGGTCAATGTGAAAAGTTTCCAGCTCAAATGTTGCTGTTTTTCTTCCCTTATTCCCTCTCAATATCTTGGCTTCCTATTTTTTTCTTTCTCCTCAGAGCAGCATAAAGAACTGGGATTTTCAAAAAGTCATGCAGTTTAAGGAGGCTGGGGAAAAAAATAAAAATTCTTTCTACATAAAGGAAGGTAGAGCTGACCATTCTCCAATGTATACCTGCTCTATCATGTCCAGAATATGTAGTTCATCCAGGCTGTAGAACTTGTCCTCAGCTGCAGAATCCTCCTGAACATCACTCGGATCATTTTTCACATACGTGCTCACTGCATGTAGATCTTGTTCTGTCTTTAACTGGTCTTCCTTTTCTACCATATATGAGCTACAGTGGTAAAAATGGTCAATAACCTTTTATAACTGTACTTTTGAAAATGCTTTTCATATAAATGACTGTTTCATGAATTAGTATTGTACTGATCTTATGAAAGAATGGACATTAGAAGGGTTCATGGGCAAAATCTACAAAATGCTCTATCTTTTCTCTTGAAAAAATAACAATGAATACTAGTTGGTCAAGGTACCTGTTAACTGCCCATGGCAGTATTTTCAAGAACTATAAAACCACAGGGTTCATTTTTCAAATTATTGTTGTTAGGATTAGTTACTTCAGAAACAGTATTTTCAGACAATATTATCTTATCATCACAACTCATATATGCATTTACACCCAAACAAAATGTGTATACACACACACACACACACACACACACACACACACACACACACACCTCCTCTGTCTTTTGAGACAGGGTTTCACTATTTCATTATATAGTCCTCACTTGCTAGGCATACTAGGCTGGCCTTGAACATGGACTCTTCCAGTTTCAGCTTCTCAAATGCTGGATTTCAGCACAATATTCTTTACAAGTAGGTTGGTTTAATCTATTTCAATGTGTATTTAAATAAAGGATTGCAAGTACAGCAAAAAAAAAATAGATTATAAAATGGAGAAATTTGGGGTAGCAGACATACATAACCATAGTGGCAACATGGACTTAAGTAATAAAACTATGAACAAGGAGTTCAGAAAAATGAAAATACTACACATACAGTGATAATCAGCCAATTGTTATTTATCTTTAAAACTTTCTGCTTGTTTTGAGACAGTCTCTCTCTACAGCCCCAGCTGGCCTCAGTCTCACAGAGTCCAAACTGGCTATGTTACACAGATTGGCTTCAATCTCACAGACATCCTCCTGCCTCTGCCTCTCCAGTGCTGAGATTAAAGGCATGCACCACCATGCCTGGCTCTATCTTTAAAATTTACAAAAATATATTTTTTTAAAGATTAAAGGACATGAAATTGGGGAATTAATAGCACAAGAGTAAAGATGGGGGAGAAGTCTAAACATGATCATAGTACATTGCATGAAATTCTCAAATAATCAATGAAAGTATTTTTAAAAATAAGAAAAACTAAATGAACGTTACTAGCCTTTTAGTTGGCCTACTAGTTAGTAACCATAAATTTCCTAATCTCACTGGCTATAAGAAACAATACTTTTACTTACAAATTGACTTTAAATATGATATAAATAATTTTAGCAGTAGTAATAAAAATCTAGGCTATTGCTACTTTCCCCAGGACATCTCCATCTTCAAAAACAATGGCATTTAGTACTTGCTGAATTCATAAAACACTATATAAACAGCAGTTAAGTATCACCAAGATAGTCCAGAATGCAGATATTTTAGAAGGTTCAGTACTGTGTAAACCACTGGTTCCCAAACTCAGTTAATTTCTAAATTATGTGAACAACTTCAAAAAGTTAAACACTTTCAGGCATCTCTAACAACTGTAAAAATATATATGAATTTGTATTTTTGAAAAGCTTCTCAATATTATTCCTAAGTTTTCAAGTATAAAAACAGCATTGGCATAATATAGTAAAATGTTCATACTTTTACATACAAGTATGGAGGGATAAAGCTATAAGGATGTTTGGAATTGAAACAAAGAAGAGAATTCAAAGGAAATATAGCTATTATATGTCTATACACTGTTCTTTTTAATTTCATAAATACATGAAAACTGTAATTTAAAAACAAAGTTTCCTGGATGATTTGATCATACAGATTTGAATCTAAAATTCAAACAAAATGAGCAAGGTAGCTGACGATACTCTTCCAGTGTTTAATATTAGTTATTATCATGACATCTAGTCATAGTTTGAAAAATTCCTATTGCTCCAGTGGCTCAACTTGTTGCCAAAGAAAGTGAAAACTCATCTTAGATGATGAGCTATTTATATACAAATGATCTTTTTCTTTTTTTTTTCCTTTTTTTTTTTTTTTTTGTATTTTTGAGACAGGGTATCCCTATAGCCCCAGATGGCATGGAACTCACTATGTAGACTAGGCTAGCCTCAAACTCACAGAGATTCCCTGATCCGCCTGCCTCTGCCTCCCGAGTGCTGGGACTAAAGGCATGCAAATGATCATTTTTAAATTAACAAATTATTGCTGACATTTTAAAGATGACCAATTTATACCCAAAGAATATTCTGAAGTTATTAATAACCAAACAGATTTTTTGTGTGTGAGAATAATGGTCTCTTCATTAGACTATGTTTCATATACTACCCTCTACTCAATAATATGGTTACAAGTATCTCATAATGTTCATTGGCATTAAAATGTTTCTGATAAAGGTTCAAAATTCAGGGACTGGAGACCTGGCTCAGTAGTTAAGAGCACTGGCTACTCTTGCAGAGTACCAGGATTTGGTTCCCAGCACCGCATGGTAGCTAACAGCCATCCCTAACTCCAGATTGAGGGAATTCAACACCCTCTTCTGGCCTCCCTGGGCACTGCAAGCATGGGTGCACTTACTTACATGCAGACAAAACACTTGTACAGCATAAAATAAAAATAAATTTTTAAAAAAGGTTCAAAATTCACTGTTGACAACTGATACGAAAAGCAAAACAAAAGTAAAGAATAACAAACAAAACACTCAAGTACAATAAAAAATCCAACAAACCAAACTTATTCTCTGTGACATAACAATGATCTACCCTTTAAAGTTAAGTTTTAATTTATATGGACATTTTAAAGTATTTTATTTTTTATGCTTTTATTTTTATGTGTATGAGTGTCTTGCCTGCATGTATGTAAGTGTACCTATGTCATACAATGCCCGTAAAGGACATAAGAGGGCATCAGATCTCCTGGAACTGGAGTTACAGATGGTTGTTAGATGCCATGTGGGTGCTGGAATTTGAACCTGGGACTTCTCCAAGAACAGCCAGTGCTCTTAACTGCTGAGCCATCTTTCTAGCACTATTTAATTTTTAATTGAGTTTTTGTATAAATTCACACATAAAGTCATCTTTACATTCCTTCTCCTCTCTTCCCCTTTGGCAACTCCCACAGCCCCTCCCGCTTCAGCTGGAGTTCATACAATCTATCATTTATATTAGGCCTATTATGTAAAGTTAGTGTCCTGAGATGTCCCTCAGTACAAGTTCATCCACAGGGCTTGAGTCAGCCTATATAGAGTCTCTTGCTTCAAGAAGAACAGCTCTTCCTCACCCAGCAGAAATCAGCTGCCAATAATTCTTCCACTAAGATTGGAGTTTGCTGTTTATTTTCACAGTTCTGTGCTAGTTTTTGTCTGCCTAAGTTTGCACAGGTCTTGTGCATGCTGACACCATTGCTGTAGGTTTGTACAAGAAGGGTCCCAGGAGCCTATAGGACTACTTCCATATCATCATGCACCTACACCCTGGCTCTTACGATCTTTCCGCCCTCTCTTCCACAACGGTCCCTGAGCCCTAAGTGTGGACCTCAATATAGGAGTCCTGTCCAAGGACCCATACACTACAGACTCTTACTCTCTGTTTCAGCCACTTGTGGCATTTTGTGTTCCAAATGCCCTCTGATGCATGAGGTAGCTTCATTGATGAGAAATCAAAGATGCATTAGTGTTCTCTTCATCCCTTGGTTCTATGTTCCATGAGTATTAGGTGTAGAGGTTGCATCCTAAATGTGCCACTTAGGCTTTGACAATTCACAGAGAATCTCTGTGTGTGACCAGTGGTGTAACTGTGTAACAAACTCTGTTGAAAAAGAAGCTACTTTGATAGGTAGTGACTAAGATACTTGTTTATAAGGATTTGGTGCTAGGATCCACAAATGAGGGAAAACATACATCTTTTGTTTTTCTGAATCCATGTTAATTCACTAACAGTTTCTAGATTCATCCATTTACCTGCAAATTTCATTATTTCATCTTTCTTTAAAAGAACTGCTGAGAACTCCACTGTGTAAAGGCACCACATTTTCACTAACCTCAGTTACCTTAGCCATCTTCATTTCTTTGAGAACTCCCGGTGTAGATCTTTAGCCCATCTTTTCACTGGGTAATTTGTTTTCTTCTTTCTTTTTTTGAGTTCTTTATATATTCTGGGTGTTAAACTTCTGTCAGATGTCTGACTACTGAAGATTTTTTCCCACTCAGTAGGTTTTCTCTTCACTTTCATGAATGTTTCTTCTGCCTACAGAAACCTAGTTTAATGAAGTCCCGCTTGTTGATTGCTGACCTTAATTCCTGAGCAACTGGTGTCCGATTTAGAAAGTCTTTTCCTACAGCTCTATCTTGTAGGATTGTGTCAATATTTTCTTTTAATATTTTCAGAATTTCCAGTTTCACACTGAAATCTCTGATCAATTTGCAGTTGATTTTTGTGCAAGGTTAAAAATAAGGATCTAGTTTCATTCTTCTACAGGCAAAGATCTGTTTTTGCCAGCATTATTTGTTGAAGATGCTGTCTTTCCTCCACTGTGTCTTCTTGGCACCTTTGTCAAATATCAGGTGGCTAAAACTGCATGTACTCAGGTCTGGGTCTTCAATTATGTTCCATCGATCTATGTGTCTATTTTTGTGCCAGCACCATTCTGTTTTTATGACTACAGCTCTCTAGTATACTTTGAGACCTGGTATAGTAAGCCCCCCAGATTTGCTTTGTGTTCAGGTTTGCTTTGGCTATCCAGGGTCTTTTGTATTTTCATATGAATTTAAGGATGATATTCTTCTAACACTGTGAAGTATGTCATGAGGATTTTTATGGGGACTGCATGCAATCTATATATTGCTTTTGGTAGGATGGTCATTTTAACAGTATTAATTATCATCCATGAGCATGAATGCTTCCATCTTCTGGTGTCTTCCTCAGTATCCTTCTTTAAAGATTTAAAATTTTTGCTATAGAGATCTTTGATGTCTTGGCCAGGTTTATTCCAAGATTTTTTTTTTTTTTTTTTGAAGCTGTTGTGAATGGGAGGGAGGGTTTCTTAATGGGAATGCTTCCAGTTTTTTTCCATTTAGAATGATGTTGGTTGTCGGTTTGTTGTATATGGCTTTAATTATGTTGAGGTATGTTCCCTCCAGTCCAATTCCCTTTAGAACTTTTATCATGAATGCAAGCTGGGTTTTGTCAAAAGCCTTTACTGAAATGACAATGTGGTTTTTGTATTTGAGTTCACTAACAGGACTTATGACATTTATTGACTTGCATAAGTAACCATCAGAACCATCCCTGCATCTCTGGAATAAAGCCTATTTGATTATGGTGAAAGTTCTTTTTGATATACATCTATATACAGTTTGCAGGTATTTTGTTGAGAATTTTTGCATCTATGTTCATTAAGGATATGGGTCTGTGGTTTTCTTTTTTGGTTGTGTCTTTACTTGGTTTGGGTATTAGAGTGATGCTGGCTGCACTGAAGGAAATCAGGAGTTCTCCCTGTTTCTATCATTTTGAGTAATTTAAGTAGTATTGGTTGGAGGTCTTCTTTAAATGTCTGGTAGAATTCTGTTGTAAATTCATCTGGGGCTGGGCTTTTTGCAGTCAGGAGGTTGTTTACTGTTTTGATTTCCTTATATGTTATAGGTCTGTTTAAACTGCTTATCTCTTCTTGGTTTAACTTTGGTTGTTCTCATCATTTTAGATATCCATTCATTTCTTTTAGGTTTTCAAATAAAATAGATCATAGATTTTTAAAGTATTCCCTTATAATGTTCTGTATCTTTTTGGATGTCTGTTGTGCTATGCCCCGTTTCATCTCTGAACTTGTTGCTTCGGATTTGCTCTCTTTCTTTTGGTTAATTGGGCTAAGGGTCTGTCTATCTTGTTTAGCCTTTCAAAGAACCAGCTCTTAGATTCATTGATTCTTTGCATTGTTTTCCATATTTCTATTTCATTAATTTCTGCTCTTATTTTTATATTTCTTCTTATCTGCTAGATTTGGGTTTCATTTGTTCTTGCCTTTCTAAGGTCTTGAGTTGTAATGTTAAGTCATTTATTTGTGCGCTTTCTGATTTTTTTAATGTAGGCACTTAGAGCTATAAACTTACCTCTTAGGACTGCTTTTAAAGTGTCCTAGAGTTTTTGTTGTGTCGTATTGACTTTTTCATTTAATTCCAGGAATACTCCTTTGACCCACTCATCATTCAGGAGCGTGTTGTTTAATCTCCAGGAGTTTGTGTAGTTACTAGGGCTGCTTCTGGTGTTCATTTTAAGCTTTATTGCATTGTGGTCTAATAGAATACATGGAATTACTTCAATGTTTTGTATTTTTTGAGATTTTATTTTGTGCCCCAGTTTGTGGTCAATTTTTGAGAAAGTTCCATGGAGTGCTGAATAGAAAGTGTATTCTTTGGTGCTTGGATGGAATATTCGAAAGATGTCTGTTAGGTCCATTTGCTGTATTGTATCATTTAATTCAGATACCTTTCTGTTTATGCTTTGTCTGGTTGACTTGTCTAATGGACACAGTGGGGTACTGAAGTTCCATACTGTTACTGAGTTGGGGAAAATCTGTGTCTTAAAGTCCTGTAGTGATATTTTTATAAATTTGTGTGCACCAGAGTTTGATGCATATGAGTTCATGATTGTAGTATCTTCTTGGGTTAATTATTCCTTTGATCAGAATGAAGTAACCCTCTTTAGCTCTTTTGATTTGTTTTAGTTTGAAGTCTATTCTGTTAGATATTAGAATTGTAACCCCTGCTTGTTTCTTAGTGCCATTTGCTTGAATATTCTTTTCCATCCATTCACCTTAAGGTGACTTCCTTGATCATGTTTATGATTATTCTTTTAAATTCGGTGTCCTAGGTTATCTCTATGGGGGTTCTCTTTGTAGAACTCTTGGTGGAGTTTGGTGGGGACATGCTGATTTGGTTTTCCATTTTTCCATTGTGATTTTGGCATGTGGATTTCTTTTTGTTGTTTGTGATTTTGGTATAAGACTCAAGCCTTCTTTTGTTAAGTTGAAGTTTGCTTCTGTTTGTATTATTGGTGTGCCTTCGTTGTTTTCTTATTGGGTATGTAAAGCTGGTTGGTCTAAGTTTCAGGATCTCTCAGACTTTATTTTGGAAGGAACTGATGGCTTCAGATCAGGTACTCAGGAGCTCCCACAGAGGCCCAAGTCAGGCTCCAGTCAGGTTTACTCAGGTTTCCTACTCATGTTTGGACCCCTACTAGTGGGTACTCACAGAACATTTTGGAACGTTCCCTAAGGGGAGGCCTGATTTTGGCACTCTCAGGCAGTCTGCTAAGGTTTCAGGGGGATCTCATATAATCTCAATTAGGGTGTTGAGCAGGATGGAATTTGGGGAAGGTTACCAACACAGAGAGGCCAGTTCCAGGTGCTCTCAGATGGTCTGCTGAGGTTTCAGTCTCTACCCTACTGTAACACAGAGAGGTGTATGCCTGGGAATGTGAGAAGGGCCTCAAATAATCCCAATTAGCGATCTGGGGAAGCTCACCACCAAGCCTAGGCCAGATCCAGACCTCTTGGGCAGAATGCTGAGTTCTTAATCCCTACACCAGGCAGACGCCAGATCAGGCACTCTCAGGTGGTCTGCTAAGGTCTCAGCCCCTACTTTACTGTAGGGCAGAGAGGTCTATGATTGGGGGGGGGGCTCACGTAATACCAATTAGGGGGTTTGGTGGAGTGATTTGGGGAAGCTTACCACCATGGGGAAGCCAGATCCAGGTACTCTCAGGTGGTCTGCTGAGTTCTCAGTCCCTATACCAGGCAGAAACCAGATTCAGGCACTCTTAGGTGGTCTGGTAAGGTCTCAGCCTATTTTATTATTTTTAATAGAAAATTTCTAGGAGGAGAAATATATGTAGGGTACTATTCTTTTATTCTCCTCAGTTTTATAAGTTCTTTGAGAATTTTATACAATGAATTTTGATCATATTCCCTCCTCTTCCCCACCTCTCCTATCTTCTCTGTCCACCTAAATGTGTGTCCTCTTTTTTTTAAACTATCAATTTGAGCTGCCCATATATGCTCTTGGAATTGTGGTCATCTGCTGGAGTGTGGTCACAATAACTCTCTCTCTCCCAGTAGCATCAACTGCCAATAGCTCCTCAGCTAGGATAGGACACTGTGCCCATACAGAACTCAAGGCAGTCTTTGAATGAAGGAGTTAGCATGAGATAACCATTGAGTAATCTCATAGAAAAAAATAGATTATATTCTTCCAAAGCTCAGGATAATTTTAACTTTTTATCAACTTCTGTAAAATAGCAGCAAGTTATTAAGACAAAAACTATCCTTTTCTTAGAACATTTCCCAAAAGAAATTTATACATTATTGACAAAATACTTTAAAAATATTAGTTAACCTTAAAATTTAAATCAATACTTACTCTTGTTCTTCTCTTGGGTCATTAGTCTAAAAAATAGCATCAGAAGAATTAGTAATTTATATCAACTACCTTAGTACAACACAGCATTTAGATTACTGTTTCTCAAGCTTTTTCATGACAACCAAAAAAAATACATTTCATGTCATGATGCCATATGCACTTACTTATATATTTATACTTAAGTATAAAACTGAAGTGTGAATTCCATGAAATACATTGTGCGTGATGAACTGCTTTTTTAAAATATCCCTATTTATTCTATTTCCTGTTTAAAATGGTGTTTGAGTCTCATTACATTTATTTTATAATCTATTGATTATACAAGTTATTGTACTGATATACAAGTTATACACATAACTTGAAAAATCACTGACTCAGAAAATGGAAGTGAATACTGGAGTTGAGTTTGTACCTATTGCTAAACCTTGAGACAGTGGCTGCAATATCCATTTATTCCTACACTAAGTAAAAGATCCTTTGAAAAACTATATGGAAAAATAAAGCACTGACATATAAAGAATCTTATGCCAAAATAAGTTCAGGGAACATAGCTGGAAGGAAAAAATTTAAAAATCCATTGAAGTTTTATATCCACTAAAATAAACTATAGCAACAATATAACCAATAGAGGTCATATGAATGATACTTAAGACACATTAATTGGCTGGAGAGCTGGCTCAGTGGTAAATAGTACTGACTTCTTTTGCAGAAGACCTGGGTTCAATTCCCAGCACCCACATGGCAGGTAACAACTGTCTGTAACTCCAGTTCCAGGGGATCCAAAGCCCTCTTCTGACCTTTGTGGGCACTGCATGACGCAGGTGCACTTATATACCTGCATGCAATACACTCAATACACATAAAAATAAAAATTTTTAGTCAGGCTTGGTGGTACACACCTGTAGTCCCAGGACTTGGGAGGCAGAGGCAGGCGGATCACTGTGAGTTCAATGCCAGCCTGGTCTACATAGTGAGTTCCAGGACAGCTGGGGCTACAGGGAGACCCTGCTTCAAAAAGGCCAATAAATAAATAAATTAAATAAATAAATAAATAAATATTAAAAAATAAAAAAATATTTTTTTAAAAAACATTAACACACATAAAATTAGGAATACTACAACATTAATTTCCACTATCTCTTTTTTTCTGAGCTTTCTTCACAGGTAGGTTTCCAAGGCACAAGATCCACAGAAATGTGTTTTGCTTTCTCATCTGTTTCATTGTCTTATTTATATTCAATGTTTAATACAAATTTCTGTTATGATTTAGAATTCTGCCTTCTACCTTAGTTTTAGTATACTTGAATACCTGGGTCTAATATTAGATAAAAAGTGAGTTGGTAGTTCATACTGAATATATCTAGTACAGGTGATTATTTCTCTAAGTTCCTTTTACCTCCTCCTATGAAAAAGTTCATGTCAGTTAATATCAGTCTCTTATAATGAATCTATGTAACTTCTCTCCTATAGAGAGGTCACCCAATTTAAAGGGCTGGACTTATTTCCTTAAATTTTCATTTTCCTTAAAGCTTTATCATAAAAAAAAATCTTCTAGTCTTTTACTTTCTCTAAATCTGAGTGGGAGATAAAAGGAGCTAATTAATCACAAAAGGAGTTATTTAGTTGTTTGTAATACAGATAAATTAGAAGCTAAGTAATAAACACTTAACTGAAATGGGAACATCAAGAAATGTCACAACCCCTCTAAACATAGTACTTAGAAGTTATCTAAAAATGCCCCCTGAATTTAGTAGGCAACTTTTAATTTCCATTCGTCCAGAGAATTCCTTATATGTATTTTTAGAGCTATTGTGATACCAACATGTTCTTAAACAAATTTCTTTTAAATATGAGGATAAAATTTCATAGAGACTTTGTTGTGACTTTTTCTAACATAAGAAAATTCCCATATATTAATTTTTCATGACAATTTCTGGTTAAATAACTTGGTTGACTGCTATTCACTTGTCTCATACACTACAAAAGTCAATTTTCATTTATGGTAACAGTTATTGAGTATGCAAATATAAAACAACTACAGCCTAACTTTCAGCATTTGTAAATTATTTAAATTGTAACTAAAATTCAAACATAAGGTATAAAATTTCTTTTGTACTATCTAAATTATATCTCTAAAACTGTCTTATTTTTGAAATTATATCAATTTCTTTAGTAAACTAAATTGGAAAAAATCTTAGGACATTAACGAAGCAAAAAAATCACTAAACATTTGCTGAAATTTAATAAATCTTAATATAACTTATGAATTATATTATTTGATACAAATATTTAGTGGTTTATATACTTATTTCTAATTCTGTTCCTGTTAATTTCAATTTAACACTTTCATTTAGCTCAAATTGAGAATTTCAGCAATACCCTCTTTTAATTTTTTAAAATAAGGAGCAGACACACGATATAATTTAGGAACTTAGCTTTGGGGTTTGACAACCATGAGATTACTTGGCCAGCTTACGTGGTAAGCATGACTTGTTTATTTTACAGCTGACAAAAATCTAAAGAATTGGCATATAATGTTTCTTAAAGGTTTTGAAAAATGCTTTGGAATACAGTAGAGATATGAAAAAAAGCTGTCATTAAAATAAGGAAAACGCATTTTTAAATGTGCATAGTATGCAGAAATTAATGACATTTTCAAGTTACTAATTCAAGATCATTCAATAAACAAAATATGTAGGCTTCTCTATAAACATATATTTAATAAGTTTTTTAATAACTTGTATTGTGTCCATAGGGAATAATTTGAGTTCTAATAATTAATTCACATTTTAAACTTCAGGTATTCATGACCAGACATTCCTCTATTATAATGCCAATGCAGTATCTTACCTTTTTATTCTTAGTTTTTTTCTTTTTCTTTGTTTTACTCTTACCCTAATAGACAAAAAGTAAATCATTTATTAAATATGCAATTCAAACTGTATAGTGGTTTATTTTGTACAATGTTTCCTCTAATAGTTGATATCTTTTATGATATATTTCTTTCTAGACTTTTATGAAAACAAGTATTTACATATTCTTTTCAATTTGATTTCAATCTTATCTTTGAAAAGAAAGGTATAAAAGAACATATACTGTCAGTAAGTAGGCTAAAAATAAAAGCTTACAAGTGCCCACTTATATATGTACATATAAAAACAAAACAAGGAAGGAACTTTAAAAAAAGCAATAAACATATTTATGTTCGTAGGGTAAAATATTAAGCTTAAGAGAAAATTAGTATCTATAAAATAGGTATCCATTAACCAACTGAGAGATTCCATCCTAGATGATTTGAACTCTACTTCTGTGTCTGAGGCAATGAACGACCCCAGTATTGTCAATTTTTCTATCTTTTCTACTCCTACTACATCTTACATCTTTTCCTTTCTCCTACCCTCCCAAATCTTTCATTAGTCAGGATTTAAAGAACTATACTCAGAAATCCAGTGTAGTACTTGACACCTAAGTATTCAATAAACACTAGCAAAATAAATGGTTATTGCAGGAAAGGCTGTTAGTAATAGGCAAGAATCATTCTAAGTCAGGTTCTGTGTGAACACTATGATTAAATATAAACTAAGACTGTCTGAAATCCTAAGTATAGCACATGAAACAGCTGAAGGTGCAGAAGAAGTTCTTCAAACATGAAAGCTTTTCTACCTCTTGGAGATCTTTAATAGATTCTGTTGAAGATTCACTGGGTATCGAGGCTCCATCTTTATTCACATCTGCTAACTGTATTTCAGTATTTGATTTCACATTTATATTGTATTCCATAAGAGGTGGACTCAGTTCTTCTTCCTCATTCTGTGACTCTTCTATTTCAACACCTAAATAATAAAGATAAAAGCTCAAAATCTGATTATAAGGTTTTGAAAAGTTTAACTCTATTATTATAGAAATATTTGCTGGGCAGATGACATGACTCAGGCCTGTTGGCCTGAGTTGGATTTGGGAATCACATGGTAAGGGAGAGAACCAACTCCTGTAGGTTGTCCTCTGACCTCTATGTGTACATATGGCAAGGTGTTAAACACACACACACACACACACACTAGATTCTTTAAATATTTTGTAAAAAAAAGAGAGAAATACAAGATACCTTAGTCTTTCAATTACTATATGAAAATGCAATACCTACTTATCCATAAATAATAGGTGCACATACTAGCCAGGAACCAATCTGTATCAACCAAAATGGCTTGATAGTTCATTGGTATTTTAAGGAGATTTTAGGTATCATATACTCTAGAATGAAAGTAGAACTGAAATACTAGGCTGTTGAGTCCTAAAGCTGGATCATTTTTCCTTTGTCTTTTCATAAGAAGGGCAACACCATATTATATGACCACTTTTTTGAATCCTTGTTCTTTGATATTGTCCCAGAGACACAATCTTAAAACTTCATCAGATAGCCCAATATTTAACTTTGAACTCATAATACGGTTTTTAATAAACATTTTAATTTTAGAATGAGAATTACATTTTTTTTCTTCTTTGATTTATTTATTTATTTTTATGGGACTTTTGGCTACTCTAACATCCTCCCCCCGCAAGAGGTAATCATAAAATCTTTTAAGGATGAGATACGAGCTCCCAAATAGTTTCAACATTTTTGGCCTTTGGAGCAGAGTATGCTACTAAGAGGCCCAAGGACATTTGATTTTTAGCTAAGTAACTGGCTACTTTTCTTTGGGGTCTTTTTACCCTAACTGCTTAGCGAATTCCTACCTCTTATTCTTATCACACCATCCTTTGAAGAGGTTACCCAAACAGCCAAGAAGCAGACTGCTCTGGCTTCTTCCATGCTCAACAGAGAATTACATTTTTAATAAGTTGAGCAAGGAGTCATGTGCTTATAGTCACTGATACTCAGATACATGGAACGCTGACTCAGGAAGGTTGCTTGAGTCTCACTTGGGCAACATTATTAACAATACCTCGTCTCCAAGAAAAAAAAAAAGTTAATGCAACTCACCATCAGGTTAAACAAAAATCTAGACCTATAAAAGTGGGTCTTTAATATAATAAAATAGCACAGATAAGCAAGTTGAGCAAGGAGATAGGAATTTTTGCCTGCTGGAGTCCTGAGAGTAGAAATCTAGAATACCATCCTTGGAGGAAATCCTTTTGTAATCTCTGTGGCACAAAAAGTTAAGCCAAGGCAGGGTAAGGCTTATACTAGCTTCAGCTGACCAACAGTAAGTGGACCGTATGACTGCCCAAACTTTTAAGAAATGTGCAATTTATTGTATAGTTTATCTAACCATGTAAAAGTAACACAGGCATGCCTTAGGGCTTCTGAGTTAAAATGCCACTTAAGTATTTTGGTTTTAAATATACTTACGCTGACTGCCTGTTATTGACTGTAGAGCAATTCCTATAGTAAATAAAGAAAAGTAATTAGAGTTATAATTGCAAGTGAAACCAACAAAGATCTGACTAGGACAAAGAAAAGCCAGAAGATTTTTACATGGCATTAATCTAGCATATAACTGTCAAGAAAAATAACCAGCATTGCTCACCAATGCAGTTTAGACAAGGTACAATCTTTAGATTATCATATAAAATCCATAAACATAATTTAACAAGAAAAAAGTAGGTGCTAGAGAGATGGCTCTGCAATTAAGAGCACTTGCTATTCTTCCATAGGAAGGTTTGGTTCCCTGCACTCACATGGCAGCTCACCATCATCTGTAATCCAGTTCTAGGCGATCTGATGCCCTCTGTGGACACCAGGCATGCACATGGTATGCATACATAAATGCAGGCAAAACACTCATACACACAAAATAAAAATAACTCTTGGGATAGACAGATTGCTCAGCGGTTAAGAGCAGGGGCTGCTCTTGCAGAGGACTGGTGCTCAATTCCCAGCACCCATATGGCAGCTAACAACTGTCCAACTGTCCATAACTCCAGTTCCAGGGGTTCCAATGCCCTCTTCTGGCCTCTGCAGGCATTGCACGATACAAGTGTACTTACATACATGCACGCAAAACACTCATACATATAAAATTTTTTAAAAATTAAATAAATAATTCTCTGGCATGATGTGGTAGTCCATGCCTGTAATGCCTGTAAGAGGCAGAGGCAGGTGGATCCCTGAGAGTTCAAGGCCAGTCTGGTCTGCACAGCACATTCTGAGCCAGCTAAGGCTACATACTGAGATACTATCTCCAAAAATAAAAAAATAAAAAAAACCCAAACCAATCCCCCCAAAAGGAAGAAGAAAGTGACAGTTTGTAATAGATTAAAATTTAGCACATCAATAAGCACTTTAAATCAAGCAGTAATTTTTATTTATTATTAGTCAATGGTTATGAAGGAATATTCATCAATTTTGAAACAAATTTCCACTGAGTATTTGCATCTTTTAAACAATATGAATAGCTCTGATCAGTACTCTACTCTTCAGCTTTTTCTATTAATGTTTACTGAGCACCTATGATGTTTATCAGGCTGTATTAAGTCCTACAGATTAAATAGTGAAAGTAAAAAAGAAAACTTTCATGGAGACTTAGTGAGGATAATAGATATTTTTAATAAAAAAATCAGACATATAAATGAAAACTGAAACTTTAATAACTGGAAAAAGAGATAAAGAAGCACTGTGAAAGCCACTTTGCCATAAACTCTTCAAACAAAGTGAAATTTGCTTAAAATGCTTTAGACTGAATTAGTGCTCAGAGCATCTTTCCCTAAATACTACCTTAGTCTTATATGTTTTTTGTTACTTAAAACCTAACTAAGGTAAATGCATTTTTTAAAAGTTGCTAGTTTACACTCCAAGGGATTCTTGTTTAATTTTTGCATATCATAAAACTCATGTCTTTTTATACTGAGGGGAAATAAAAGGCTCTCAAACATTAAATAGAAAAACAAAAGTATCTCCGAACACAGAGCAGACACTCAAGGTTTTGCTGGCTAACCTAAGTTTAGTACCTTGTTGATAGCAGGATAACATCCTCTGGATGATTTCTGGTACTGGTATGCCTAGGTAGATGGACAGCTGATGGTAATCAAGGGAGATATTCTCAATAGGGTTCTCCTTGACTTTGTCAATATCCTCTTGTTTCATTCCAAGGCGCAGAAGAATATCTGAAACTTTTTTCCAGGTTGAATTGAATTGTGACTCAGTGAGACCATTCATCAAAATCTCACTAAGGAGGATATCCCTGTATTTGCACAGCCTCAGGATGTCTGCAGACTTAGAGAGATCAGAAGATGGTGGTTCCATATTCCAGCCTTTTCTGGGTGCCGGGAATACATTCAAATGCTTAATGAGAGCTAGTAAAAGGCATAAATCAAACTGTTTGGATTGTGGTAGTTCCTTGTTTGGGGGATAAAGCAGGTGCCATGATCCACCCAAAGGGTGATTGGTCCAAAGATGGTTGTAGTAGGATTCTAGGACACTCTTGTGTATAAGCAGCTCTTTTTTCAAAAGGGTGGGTGGCATAGCCTCATCAAATATTTGCCGGACAATGTCAGTACCAGAAATAATAATTATATGCAGCAGATGATAAAAATAATTATAATCAAGTTTGAAGATAGGCATTTCATCTGAAAATGAATTTTGAGAAGTCAAGACAATACATATTAATTTTCTTTTTCTATGTGGTGTCTGACCTGTTCCTGGGGGAGGACGGGTGCTATTCAAAAAAGGAAGTACAGTAGTACTTTACATTATCTAGGGCTCAATAAGCATGCTGCTTTCTGCCTGATTATCAAAAATTCTAGACAAAAACTGTATGCTCCCAAGCAGAAGTAATAACAAAGACTATTCTACACCAGAAGCCTTCCAACTACTCGTGATTTTAAGTAAATTAATTTTGGAAACCAAATGGAAGGGTACTTTTGAAAACCCTGAAATTTGCCAGGAACAGTAATTTCCTAGGCTTAATTATAATATACTTAAAATTATATTCTTATTTTATACAAAATCAGCACTATCCAAGAGAACTTTATGTGCCAAAAATATTAACATACTTGCAAGGTCCACCACTCACTGAATACTGTTGCTTGTGTGACCAAAAACTGAGTCTGAAATTTTATTTGATGTTAATTAAAATTTAATAACCACATATAGCTAGTGTCCATTATATTAGATAGTCCACATGTACACTAATAAACATAGTTATCTAATGTCTTGCTACTCAAAGTACAGTCCACAGATTAGTGGACATGCAGAACATGACTTACCACTACAAACCTACTGACTGAATTGACACATGGGGTTTTGTTTTGTTTTGGTGTGATTTTTAATTTCCAGATGATTCAACTTTATAGAGTTTGAGAAGCACTGATTAATAAACCTCATTTTCTTACCTGCACACAAAATAAACTTAATGACAAAGTTGGTATTTTATCAATGAAATGGAATAAAGTTCAGATTAAACTATCAATATTTTTTTCCATTTAACAGTACTTTGAAAGGAGGAAATAGTAGGAATTTAGTGTATGATGGTATCTGGGTTTTGTATGAGCCATTTAATGCTCATATTTCAATGTATTTATCACAAAATGCACCTTTATTATTTTTATACTTCATGATTTTGTGATTTAAGAAACTGGTAATACATTTGCTTAGCACAGTTGATCTACAGTTTGAAGGTAAACAAAGTTAAAGAGCAAATAACTCAAGAAGATTTCTCTAGATTGACAAATACAGAGCTGGCTAGCATTAGGGATATCTAAATCTCCCTTGTAAGGACTGCTCCTAATTATTGTTCTATGGGATCAGGGGCCCATATAGTCTCCAAGCGCTAGACAGTATTTTCTAGTCTACTCCTAAAGAGTTGGCATGTTGATTTAGAGTAATTGGTTCCACCCTTCAAAATATTCATTCCTTCCAAGTTAGATTACTCTCAACTTTGCTCTGTTAAAAGAACATTAAACAAGAGGAAAAAGGCTGGAAGAAAGCTCTCCTGAGATAAATCTATCTACTCACAGACATATTCCAGACTTAGTATGTCATTCTATGTTATGAGCTTTCTGTCTGTGAGTTCTAGCCTATACCAAACACCACTTTCTAGAATAAACCTGAGCTTAGTGGATGACAATCATAAGGATTAGCATGACTGTTAATGACATGAAGCTTTATAGAGAAAGTAAAAATTGTTAATATTTTCAACAAGGGTCATATAAAAATAAAGTAATACCTTTTGTGTTAAGTTTTAAACTGAACTTCGGTCTTATATCAGTATCAGTTAATTTCAAAGACATCAACTTCTTATAACTGCAAATGGAAAAAATTAAGTAAGAGTAAAATAAAACCAAAGTCAGTCAAAATTTCTGGTATAAGCATTACTAAGTATTTTTTTCTTCATTCTGGAAATAAATTGAAAGCAAAGGAGAAAACAATTTCAGTGAAAACATAAAAGCCAACAGCATGACAATTCCACACTCAAGTTCATTATAATTAAGACGTATGGAAGGAATATTGCTGGCTTTCATGCAAAAAGAATGTGATATAAAGGTTGCATGGCAGCAAAAACTAGGAAAATAAAAGAATTAGCACTGTAAAAAGCAAAACCTAGAAAACATAAACGAGGAATTCCTCCTAGAACTCTCATGGTCACATTTTTTTTCAACTACTTAAAGATAACTTACTCAATATGTAGTGACTTTTTTTAAAAATGAAGAAAAAAACATAATACAACACAAATAATTAGAGAAGATGAAAAGATAGAGGAAAGAAATAAGAAAATTTATTAAATAGATGAAACACTAAGTAAATGTTTCCACTAAATGAAAATTTGTGGCTTTGATATAAACTGTCCCACACAAAACAAATACTAGACAACAATACTTGCAACAAACTTTGATGGTAGCTACTGCCTGTTGATAATGAATCTTATCTCTGATGTCATAACACTGTCAAACACCCATTATATAGAAAAACTGGAAGTTCTAACAGTATGAATTATTGGCAAAAATAGAATAAGGGAATTCTCCCAGACTGTTGGTGGGGAAAATTGGTAAAACCACTGTTGTAAACAGTTTACCAATATATGGTAAATTTGAGAACATGCATAGAAGGTCTAGGAACTCCAACTCTAGGTATATATGATGAAATAATTTCTACACATTCCTATTTATTATAGTACTATTGATATAGTCTGAAATTATAAATAATCCAAGTACATGTCAATAGTAATATAAAGCATAGCTATGCAATAAAACTATAGCAATTAAATATTAATACAAATGAATTACACAATATATAACAAATGAAAGCACAAAACATAAATGTTTCTATACATATAAGGTTCAAAACAGAAAACAAACTATAAGTAAAATATATTATGAAATTTTGAGAATAAATTTTAGTAGGTTAAAATGTACATTGTTTAACTATAGAAAAAATATATTTAATATATAACTACAGAAAAAATATAGACTCTATATATAAACTCTAGTTTAAAGGCAGAGATTGTCAAATTAGAAAAATATATCAAGATCTATACAATCTCCTCACAAAAGAAACCCAAAACAAAACAACACAAAACAAATCCAAGAGACATATAGGTTAAAGTACATGAATCGAAAAGGAATAGAAACGTTAATATTAGACCAAGAAACAAAGTAGGATTATAAGAATCAATCAAAATAGATGTTAAATGTGCACTTAGTGTTATAATAAAACTGCCTCAAAAATAAAGAGTACAGATACCAGATAATTTTTCAAATGAAAACAGATAATCAGACATGCTATAAAACACTAAAACAAACTAAATGTACAGAATACATCATACAAGAAGAGAATGGAGATCTTTTATGGAGTATTACGGAAAACATGTCAAAACACTAAGTTTTAAAAGATTTTATTACTAGAAAATATATTTGGTGATTAGAAATCTGAACTAGGAAAATAACTGAAATATTGCCAAATATTTGGGAATAAAGCAACATACTTCAAAGTGACCAATGATTAACAGACACACACACACACACACACACACACACAGAGAGCGTGATGGATCTCCAGCAGAGAGAGAGAGAGAGAGAGAGAGAGAGAGAGAGAGAGAGAAAGTAAATAGCATTTGAAATTGAATGAAAACTACAGGGACACAAAGGAGTGCTTATGGTGAAACATTCTACAAAAAACAGATCTCAAATCAGTAATGAAAGTTATTATCTTAAGAAAATGTAAGGAGAATCTTGCCCACCCTGCCATCATCTCTACACTCCTAGGACTGGCTTGGGTTGCATGCACTCATGATCCTGACCTGCGAGGTAAGTGGATGAAACTACAAAACATACTGAGTGAAGTAATCCAGACTAAGATAAACAAATGCCACATGCTCTCTCTCATTTATGTATCTTAGTTCTGAATCTTTAGTTGTGAGTATATTCTGAAGTAACCACAAACAGTAGAAAGGGGCCCTTGGGGTGGGGGGGAGGTAGGAGGAAGGATCTCAAGAGAGAGGGCTAGGACATAGGTGCTATCAAAAAGGAAATGGAAAAAATAGGGGGTATTTTAACAGGAGAGGAGAGAGACAAAGGAGAGATAAACAACACTATGGTTGTCTAAAAAACCAAAGGGAAATGTATCACCTCATAAGTTTACTTAAAAAATAATATATCGTAAGTATACATATATAGCTGAAGACTAACAAAAACCCCAGTGCCAAGCATGGGGAAGCACCTTTTGAGTTATTGGTCAGGGTAGTCCAAGAGACCCTCAAAGTAATATAGGCTGTTGCTATAACCCTTGGTTGCCTCCCAGAAGTAGAAGACAAGACCCCATTACTGAAGACACTAAACTGTTGAAAAACAGGACTTGGAGAAATTTAGTTGGAACTGACCTACAAACCTTCTCTCTGAAGACTAGCTCTCATAGTAACAGAAGGTGCTATGCAAGGCAAGGGAGAAAACCAATCAATGCTCCTACCCAGTTGCAAAGCCTACAAACTACAATGACTGGCTCACCAAAATATTTATATTGCTGCAATAGTGGCACTTCTACCTTGGGGGTAATAAACAGCTAATGAATTGGAATTACGCCCAGCTCAACAGGAAAGAATTCATGTCTAGTACTATAAACATTGCCAAGTACACATGGCTGGAGAGGTCATAGACTCTAGAGGACAACCCACTATTGCTACTTTCCTAAACCAATATCATTTCTTACTATATTCTAAACACTTATCATTATATTCACAGACAAGTATGGTTCTCATCATTCATCAAAGAAGTATATTTTTGCAAAAGATGGTAACTAGTACAAAGTTCCACAACTGATTAAAATGCACAGAAGAGGCAAACAACTGTTGTATCTAAAAATGTAACTCCTATACCTAAGGCTCGGGGAACATCCTGGAAGAGGGAGCAAAAAGATTTTAACAGCCAGAGGAACAAGACACCTGAAGCTGCATTCATGAAATCTCTACAATATGGTCACTTTATCAAGCCCTGCATAACTGACACCATCAGTTGACATGCCAATGTAGATGGGGGAAATTTCACGTGTGTGTGTGTGTGTATGTATACACACATATATAAAACGATAAAATAGAAGAGAAGATGAAATTGAGAGGGAGTGAGGACCATGGGAGGAGTTGGAAGGGGAAGAGTAGAAATGATGGAAATACAGTACTCAGGCATGAAATTCTAAAAAACAAAGAAAGAAATCGAAAATGAAAAGCATAGCCACCTTAGTGGGTAAAGGCACTTGCAACAACCTGAATTCAATCCTACATGCCACAGGTGGCAGAAGAGAAGATATGTCCTTAGACCACCATGCATGCCATCATACATACATACATACATACACACACACACACACACACACACACGCACTAAAAAAACAACAAAAATATCAAATAAAGTAATAAAAATTTAAAAGAAAATGGGAAGCAAATTAAACGCAAAACAAAAACAAGAAATGAATAAAGAGAAACCCAATGAAATTAAAATTTGAAAAATATAAAATAAAAAAGTCAGTGAAATAAAAAACCCGATTCTTTGAGAGACTAACTGGTAAATCTTTAGTCAGAATAGTCAAGAAAAAAAAAAAGACAAAAGACACAACTGCAACATAAGGAACGAAAAAAGTGACATCATTACGAATCCGAGGTTTCCTATCGAAGAAATCATAAAATTAAAGCTGGTGAACTGAAGAGAAATCCCAGGCACAAGTGTTAGAACAGCATCTCTCAGTTCTTTCTAATCCTGTCTCTTCCTTGCCACTGAACCAAACCGTGTAGAAAAAACTCAAAGCAGCTAATCTCAAAGGAAAAAAATCTCAACTAAGACTGGAAGCAGCATCCAATAAAGAGTTCATAGATTACATCTAGCCAAGTTAACTCCCTGTCAAAACAAAAGTAATTATATGTTAGAGAATAAAGGCATTCGGAATCCTAAAACCTATTATGTATTTGCGAATACTTAGGTTTCAGGCAGTATTCTGTATGCTAGGAATATAGTAGTTCTTGCCCTCATTGAGGGTGCTGTCAGATGGAGGAGACAGGCAAGCAAGTGTAATAAAAGTTAGCAAATGTTGTGAGCAGAAGAAAAGGATTAATGAGAAACACTTATTCCCATCTAAGAAAGACTTTTCAGAAGCCTTAACTAGGCAAATTCAAAGTACAGTATTTATTATCAAGCCTGAAGGTGAGAGGGTAAAACCGTCTCAATTCCAGATAAAATTGTGGAGATTAAGATGACGCACTCATGAAACTAAAAGAAGGACTATACAGCTGGTGCAGAATATATAAGTAAAAGAAGTTGATTGTGTATGGTAAAAGCAGAATGATGAGGCATGATACAGTGAGTTCATCAGGATCCATGATAACTGACGGCCCAAGCTAATGATTTTGACTTTGACCTTAAGAGCACTGCAAAGTCTCTTAAATACTGTCAAACACAAAAACCATATTATTAAATTCTTAGAAAAGTCCTAGCAACAGCTATATAAACAACAGACTTCAGAAAAGAGCAACATTAAGGACAGATTGTTAAAAGCTGTTTCAGAATGTATTACTAAATTAATCTACATATTCAATGCAATCTCTACTAAAATAGTAATATTCTATACAGAACCTGAGGAAAAAAATACTAAAATTCATGTAGAAACAAAGAAGACCCCAAATAGATAAAGCAAAACTGAGCAGAAAGAGTAATATTGGGGATGTCACAATACATGATTTGTAATTATACTGCATAGCCATAGAACCAAAAATTGTCATGATACTGGCATAAAACAGACATAATGATTCATGAAATAGACTAGAAGACCCAGAGATAAACCAATGCAGCTATATCCACCCGACTCCTGACAAAGAGGAAAAAACATATGTGAAAGAAAAAACAGCCTTTTAATAAATGGAAAACTGGACATGTAGAAAAAAGAAACAATATGTGTACTTTAATCCTGTTCAAAAATGAATTCAAAATAGAATTTGTGTGTAGAGTACATGTATGTGCATTTTCATATATGTTTGCATGCACGTGCATGTGCACATGTATGCATGCGGAGGCCAGAGGTTGATGTCAAATATTTTCTTCAATTACTTTCTACCTTGTTTTTTGAGACAGTGTCCCTCAGCGAACCCAGAGTCCACTGATTTGGCTTGCCATTGAGCTACACAGATCCACCTGTTTATATTCCCAAGTACTAGGGTTATTGGTGTGCACTACCACACTCAAGATTTTTACACTGGTTTAGAGATCCAAACCCAGGTCCTCAACCTTGAACAACAAAAACTTTATTTACTGAGCCATTTTTCCAGCTCCTCAGAAATAGATTTTAAATCAAAATGCCACTTCATTTATGATCTAAAACTTTGAAACTATTAGAGGAAAATGGAAAATATTTCAAGACAGGCACAGGCAATGCCTTTCTGGATAGAACTGTATCAATGGCCAGGATATAATATCGGGAATTGACTTAAAGAGATGCATGAACTAAAAAAAGAAAGAAAGCAATAACATAATGAACAGCAAGAGACAGCCTACAGAGTTAGAGAAAAATTTTACTGACTATTCACCTGACAGAGATTAATAACTAGAATATGAGAAATTTTAGAAAACCTATAATACCCAAAGAATAATTTAATAAATAGGTTAAAGGACTGAGCAGACAGTTCTCAAAAAAAGTTCAGATGGCCAATAAATGTCAAAAAAGTCAACATTTATAGTCATCAGAGAAATGCAAATCACATTTACATTCAGTTCATTCCCTCACCTTATTCAGGATGGCTATTAAGAAAACAAATAACCCTTACATGTTGGTGGTAATGTAGATTATTATGAACACTATGGAAATCAGTATGAAGGTTATTCAAAAATCTAAATCCCGAACTACCAAATGATCCAGTTATACCACTCCTGGGTTTGTACCTGAAGGAATCCAAGTCAGTGCACTGAAGAGATAATATGTACATTCATAGTTATTACGGCACTAGGCAGAAAAGCCAAGTTTTAGAATCAGCCTAGGTGCCTATAAACAGATGAACAGATAAAGAAAATATAGTATACATATATAATGGAGTATTATTTAGGCACAAGAAGAACTAAACCATGTCATTTGCAAAAAAAATAGATGGAGCTAGAGACTATTAAACAACAAAAAAAAAAAACCTCAGACAAATCCCACCTTATCATCACATGTGGAATCTAGATGTAAAATTAGAACAGATATTATTTCAGGTAGAAGTAGGGTATCTGCAGGAGGACAGAGGCAAGAGAAGGGAGGGAGAGGATAATGGGGGAGGTGACTATGATCAAAGTATGTTATACAGATAAATGTCATAATGAAGTCCATTACTTTGAACAATCAATAAAAACTAATGAAAAAAAGGCGTGGTTAACAAAAATGTGGTATATTTACCTTACACAATGGAGTTCTAGTCAGTAGTAAAGAAAGATGAAATAATGAAATTTTCAGGTAAATGGATGGATCTAGAAACTTAGTGAAGTAACACAGACTCAGAAAAATAAACAACGTATGTTTTCCCTCATATGTGGATCCTAGCACCAAATCCTTTTAAATTCCAGGTCCTTTTAATAAGATGATGCTATACAGCAGTCCCTTCTGTATGAAATAACTACCATCATCACAACTTCAGCTGAGCCTAATCAAGAAACATCCTCATAATTGGGCTTGTTGACGGTTGAGCTCATTCATTAAAGAAGGGCAAAGCAGGGTCATTGGACCCTCACTGGATTATCCAGCCACTTTTCCCAGCAAGCTGTATGTAATTTGACCTTAATCACACATGGCCTCCTGGATTTGGGGAGGGCCAAAGCATACAATCTGGGGAAGGCTAGGAAGAGAAGGCATGACCCGTGCTAGGTAAAGGCTTTCCAGTGTGCATACACCCTCAGGTCATACATACACCTCAGCAACCCCTCAGTTATCTCGGTAAGCTCAATAAATTCATTGGTTCCCCAGTAAAACTTTAATCCAACACTGGTTTGACACTAGAACCTTAAAAGGGAATAAGCATTGCTTGGCATCACCAGGAAAAGTCATCTCAGAACAGATGGAAAATTTGTTAATGCTATTATGTTTCATAATTATTTTTTGAAAAAAGGAGAAAATGAGAATGTAAAAGATCTTAAAAGGATATAGGAATGGAGATATTTTCCAAAATAGAAAGAAAAAATGAGAAAGCCTAAGCAAGTGATGAAGGTCTGTTTAGGTTTGTTATGGTATATAAAGGATAAGACATAATATATACATAATCTTAAAATTTCTATGGTCATAGTTTAGTCAACTACTTTAAGGAACAAAATATATATCTAGTCAAGGTTTATTTGGGAATATTTGTTTTTTTTTACTCAAGCCTTATCTACACAGCACATGGTAATTAAAAGTACCTAACCTTATTGGATGTTTTACAGCCACAGTTTGAGGCCTATACTAATGTGGTCAGAGGGGCTTAAAGGACAGTTTTTGCCCCTTGCCCTCCATGGTTGACTAAGTTCCAGGGGACTATGGAACATCTCTCAAAATGTCCTGTAACTGTGGTGAGTCATCTGTCCCCTTTTCAGGGAGGACATGGAGACCCCATGAGATGGACTTGAACCAGTGTCCAGTCTACAAAGAGGAGGGTCGACTCAGAGGAAACATCTCATTCATGCTTCCAAGTGAAGCCAGACATGGTCGAGCAGGACCTTTGACTTATCATCAATAGAAGATATCCTCCCAAGCCCATGTGATCCCTGAGGAACAGATCCACAAATGACCTTAAGTGTAAAAATAAATTGATTAATTGGGGCCAACTGTACAGTCTTAAACACCCAAAAGGAAAATATAACCAAAGAGTAAAGTCATCAGTATATTTCTTTAAGAGTTCAAGGGATTACACTTCCCAGACATTAGGCTTAAGTCTATATAAAAAGTTATTTAGACAATTATTTCTCATTGATGATTTTGTTTCTAACCAGAAAGTGCTGCTCAAATGTAAGACTTCAAATCTTAGTCAGCTGAGCCTGATCTCTAAACATAGTCACAATTGGGCTTGTTGACGGTTGTGCTCATTCGTTAAAGGAGTGCCAAGCACGGTCACTGGACTGTCACCTGAGTATCCAGCCACTCTTCCCAGCCAACTAGTCCAGCCTTGGAAGACAAAAGAAAAATGAGGAAGAACCCAATAGAGGGATGCTTTTGGAAACCCTTGTCGAGAAACTCCAATGGATTCTTACATGAACGTTTGAAAATTGCCCTGTTCTGACTTTTTTCTAGTTCCCTGTCTAGTACTTGTAATGCTAATTACTCTTACCTTTACTTCTCCTTCACAGCTCCTATTCATGACTCAAGGACTTTCTTTTCCCCTTAGAGATAAGAGTTATGCAATTTGGGAGTCTTTTAGATAGGCCCACTGAAGGGGGTACTCCAATTGCCTCACCCTGCGTCCCTGTTCAGCATGGAAGAAGCCAGAGCGGTCTGTGTCCAGATTCCCATAGGCAATTTGGGTAACCTCTTCAGAGGATGGTGTGATAACAGGAGGTAGGAATTTGCTAGGCAGATAGGGTAAAAAGACCCCAAAGAAAAGTAGCCAGTTTCTTGGCTAAAACTCAAAATGTCCTTAGGCCTTTTTAGCAACATACTCTGTTCCAAAGGCCAAAAATGTCAAAGTATTTGGGAGCTTGTATCTAATCCTTAAAAGATTTTAGTGTTACCTCTTCAGAGGGGGGTATGTTTGATTATCCAAAAGCCCCATAAAAATAAATAAAAAAATCAAAGGAGAAGAAAGAGTAACAAATAAATAAAAAATAAATTAAATAATTTTCATGAATGGTTGTCACCTATATTATCAATGATACTGACAAATAAGTAACATTTGTGGATTAAAAGAAAAAGCTGCTTTAAAATGCCAAATAAAACATAATGAACCTCATTTAGTTTAGAGACAGACAGGACAGCAATAAGGGAAAAAATATATTTGAGAACTATAAATAGGACTTAAAGAACTATTAGGCAGTGTTTGGAAGAAGGATCCAGAATTTAGTTTGGCTTCAGGCCCCTAAGGCTCAAAGATTAATGCAGAAGAGGGTACAGAAAGATTTTAAGAGGCAGAGATGTTGGATGACCACAAGAAAACAGTTTTCCAAATAGCTGGTCAGTTATTCATATGAATACACAGCAATGGTGACAGCATGCACCAGAAAAGATCAAACCAGAAAAAAAAAAAAAAAAAAAAAAAAAAACGAGACTCAGAGGCCTAAATAAGTTTTGAAAATTAAGAGTTTTGATATTATAACAATATAACATGTAACTTTAAGAAAAATGTCTTTTGTCTTTACATAAAGATTATTTTCATCCTTAAAGGTATCACATAATTTCTCCTGTGCTGTTTTAAAATGTAAATATCTACAGTGGCAGCAATAGCGAGGGGACAAATGAGAACTTTATGTTTTTTTCTCTTATCTAAAACTCTTTAAATTTAATTGGTGCTGTAAATTGACAGAACACAGAAGAAGCAACTAAAATAAAACTACAACAACAAAAAACACATACATGCTCAGAAAAAAGTAACAGAATATTTAATTTCAAGCTTACCTTGCTCCTAAATTTTCAATGGTTATATATTCGTCCTTTCTTACCACTTCAAACTGCAAGTGATGGGAATAAAATTAAAAAAAAAAAAAGCTAAAATAGCTCAATTTTCAAAATCCTTTTATCAGTCTTGGCTTTCAAATTTATAAAAAAATGAAACCATACTAACTATAAACAACACAACTAAAAGGTAAGCAATATATAATACTGCTCAAATTACAACTGACGAACTATAATTACTCTTAAAAACCAATATGTTTTACATTATATGATTTGAATTCCTATACTAAAATATAAAAATAGCATAAGATCATTTATAGTCCTAATTTTGGTCTATTTATCAGTGAACTAAAATTTCAACAAGATAATTAACTAAAAACCAAAATGGTTACTGTGTATTTTCTGTAACAGATAATATACTCAAGCATGTATGAGGCCCTGGGTTCAATTTCCAATACCACTAACAAAAAAGAGTTTCAGAAAGCCTAAAATTATTTTTAACTTGAAATGGCACAAAAAGAGTTAACTTATCGTCATTTATCATCCCTGGTTCACAATACTTTCCTCATCAGTACAATGATGGCAGTTCCTCTGTTTCTATTTAAAAATTTTTTTATCTTGAAGACTACTTAAACATGTAACATAAAACACAGCAAACAGAAAGTGCACAGGGCTTAGTCACCAAAGAGATTTATAGCTGAGATTCTATGACTGTAATTGCTAAATCTGTTTCCAGTCAAAAATAGTGCCTCACTGAAAGCAAGAAAGCTCAGAAAAAAATACTCACCAAAATTTTGACGATTCCAGATACATCACACTGCAGCATTCGGACCATGTCACCTGCACATCCTTCCTTCAAACATTTCTTCCCACTAAAACTCTAACATTGTTAATGAAAAACAATAAAAATAGAAAATCAGTACTGTGCAAATCTAAGTCATTTAAGTAATGAAAGTTAGCAGATATTGCTATATGGCAAACTAAAAGATGTGAATAAACATGAGAATTAGCTGCTCAATTTTTTCATGTATCACTGAGTATCAACTTAAAATGTCTTTTACTTTACTCATTTAGACTTCAAAATCTTTATGGAACTATATTCCAACTTAAACTGTATCTGCTGCCCCACTGAAAGCAACTTTAACATATATTAACTCAGCACACACACACACACACACACACACACACACACACACATACAAAATACTGAATTTTATCAGATATTTAGGAATTTTAGAGGAAAAGAAAGAATGAAAATGGAGAATGACTTCCTCTGATTACAGCATTTATATTCCTTTACTTCTTTTTCTAAAACTAGAGCAATATCAATTGCCCCTAACAACCAAATAAAGGAGTAACAATGCCTTATTTGAATGAAATCTTTGAAGTCAGTATACCTTATTATCACTTTAGGGATTAGAAAAGTTAGTAACACAGCTAGTGACTCAAACTGGGTTTGAACCCAGATCTCCTACCTCCATATTCAATGCATTTTACTGTACCACAATTGCTTAAGGAGGTTTTTGTCTTATTTGTACAATGTAAACCTTGTAAAACTAAACATTATAAACCAACTATGACTATTAGCTCATGAAAAAATAATGAATATAAACTGGGCTTTGGATTTCTATTCCAATGCTTGTGAGAAATAACTGAATTTAGATGACTACTGTAACTAAATATAAATCCATACATGAACACTACAACTTTGTTCTTGTGTTCCACCTCTAAAATAGAAGTTACCCATAAAACTGTATAATTATTCATTCTATGTGCTTTTTGAGCAATTCTATTCTTAGATTCTATGCCCTCTGTGTAACTATAAGCAACAATATTTCTATTCTGGATTAGAGTGAGAAGATAAAACAATAAAAATTACTAAGCAAAGCGACTAGCAGAATATTCCCTATAAACAGATGTTTAGTAACTGACAAAATGAAGAATGGTAGGGAGGTAAGCACCAGAGAGAAGGAGAAAGAAGAAAAGGAGGGAGATAAAAGGAGGAAAACAAACAAGAAGAAATGAACTAGAAGACAACAAAAAAGCAAATGGAAAAGGGAGAAATGCTAGAGTAGGTCTGAAAAAGAAAAAGAAAAGCCAAGTCCTGTACCTGATCACTTTCACCTGGGTATTTTAAATTCTTGAACTTTTTCCAACAAATTTTATGGAAGTAAACACAGCAACTTTTACTGCACATTAACTGAAAAAATCCCTAGAAAAAAATGAGAAAGATAAAATATATAGAAATATAATTTACTTAGACATAGAAAATACTTCGTCACTTTCTAAGTTATTCTGTAATTTACAGAGATTACATTTTACAATAATGATGTTTTATACCATGTTCAAACCTTACTAGCAAAAACTTATATTCTAAAAGAACTTCTGGCATCATTTTGACATCATTAGAGGCAGAAAAGTAAAGAAAGTAAAAAAAAGGGCAATAACTTGAACCTCAATGTAATATTTTCGATAAGCTATATATAAGAAAATAGCAGAAACCCATACGTGTGTTCTATAGAATGTGCTACTTACTCATCCCTCTTTGACATTCCTCTTTACCTCCAGCTCAGTGTCATTATTCTTTGAATCACCACTGTGTATATCAGACCTCAGATATGCTGCTCTGGTGACAGAAGCTCCTAAGTTACTTTGTTACTCTATCACACAGACTTTTTTTGTTCTTCTCATTGTGCCTTTTCTAGGAACTATAGTCCGGCTTCCTCTAAATAGGAATTCTATATCACAAAAATATAAGATGTATATCTATAACTTTCTGCTGCTGTGCTGTCATTTGAAAGAACTCTGAAGTTGTCCTGAGAGACCACAGGACTATATTATCATATCAGTAAAATCAATACTAGCCTGGAACACGGCACTCTACAGGTCCACTTACCAAACTCCCTCTTAGCTCGACTTTTCCTCTCTCTACCTGTCCCCCCAATACATCATGCCTTGCAGTTGAGATTTTTGTTATCTCAGAGTCAGTGTCTTATTTCCACTGCTAATCATTTCTTATCATGTCTTCTAATTTTACAGTCATACTCAGATCCAGAGAGTTCTAACAAGTGTTCTAATTGAAGTATTTCTTTAAATCAAAGTTTTACCCCCTCTCCCCACCCAAAGACTCACAGAAGGGAGATGATCATTTCTTTATTATTATTAGTAACATGATTCCTGAGGAGTAACAACTTTTCTTCTTAGTACAATGCTACTATTTTCAATTTTTACCATTTCTAATTATACAGTGAAAAAATATGAGATTATTTTTACTGCATGATTGAATGAATAATACTCATAACTCCAGAGGCATGTAAATGTTATAGAAACCAAGGCACTACTAATCTACTTATTGACTGGCTCAGAATATAATTAGTACTGATTTTTAATCTATGTTCTCAGAGACAAACTACTTCTCAACTCTATTGCATTATGATTAAAGCAAACAGTGCTAATTTTTTTTTTCGGGTCTAAGGATGAAACCCAGGGACTTGCATACACTTACTAGTGCTCTACCACTGAGATATGTTCTTAAGTAATATTTTGATGCATGAGATAATAACTTTAACTGTTTAATTTTATAATTACATTTAAAATGTTTAATTGGTCATTATATTACCTTATAGTTGGTGTTCTTTAAAATGTCAGCTTCACAAGATCGCTCACAATCTAGATAACTACAAATGGTTTCTTTCATTATGTTACTTTCAGTTGTTTTGATAAAATCATTGAGAAGATCCTAGAATTTAAAATACATATTTCATGAATACAATTTAATAATAAATTAAGACAGTAACACAAGTTTACCTAAAATGTATCCAAATATCTTTTTGAAAGTATATGTGTGTGTGTATATTTAAAAGTAGGATTAAACCATACTTTCACTTATTCAAAAGAAAGAACATATAAGAAAGGTCCTAAATTAGAAGCAATGAATTTCTAACTACAGAAAGTAGACAAGTGCATATCTGTTTTTTTATTTTATTTATTATTTTTATTTTATGTGCATGAGTGTATTGCCTGCATGTATGTATGTAAGTACAGCTATGTCATTCAATGCTGCAGAGGTCAGAAGAGGGCTTCAGATTCCCCTGGAACTGGAGTTAAGGACAGTTTGTAGCCTCCTTGTGGGTGCTGGGAATCAAGCATGGTTCCTATGCAAGAGCAATCAGTGCTCTTAACCCCTGAGCCATCTCTCCAGCCCGACAAGAGCATATTTGAAGCTATGCTTCTCTCACTGTTCTAACTCATAGTATGACATGAGAACTTTACCAAGGACTATATATCTAGATCTCAGGAATGGACACTATATTGACAGTGAAACCACTATGATGGTGCACTATGCCAATCACTGATACAGGGGGTAAAAATATGATACAGAAATATTTTTCCAATGGCAAGAGCTACAACTTTAAATACAAACTCTCATTTTAAAATGCTAATTAACTCTAAGCAAAATAAATGATCATACCTGAGTTAGACAAGAATCTTAGTACTTAACTTTTAGAGGGAAAGTGTTACATCAAATAGTATTATTCCTAATATTTTTAAAGTATGTAAAAATTCACCTTTTCTGGTTACTTCATGAATACCAGTCCATAAATATATACATATACATATATACATATATAAGAAGATAAATTTAATAAAATCTGCCAGAAGGTATAAGGAAAAGACAATAAAATATACAAAGCAAAGCCAGGCGTGGTGGTGCATGCCTTTAATCCCAGCGGGAGGCAGAGGCAGGCGGATCTCTATGAGTTCGAGGCCAACCTGGTCTACATAGTGACCAGTTAACCATGGAGTCATCTCTCCAGCCCCAAAAGTCATAATTATCTTGATAGTGCCAAAAGTCATCAGCAAAGTCTACTGACTAATGATAAGTATATTAAAATATTGTATTGTATTGTATTGTGATTTGAGATTTTAAAATTTTCTTCTTGTAGTTCTGCCAAATGATAAATAAAATCTGGAATTTTTATGAAATATGCCTCTTTTATTTAGGGGATACCTTTAGACTTAAAGTCAGCTAAAATCATCTAAAAAGGTTTAAAGCAAAAGTTTGGAAAAAGATTTGCTACTGAAACATTTACCAAGGGAAACTTGTAGCTATTTTCACTTAAAACAAATCACTTAACATGGCTTTGAACAAAAATTATCTGAAAGGCAAGGAATACCCAGATGGTATGGGGAAACAAAACCTCTTATACTTGTTTAAGAATAGAAATAAGTAATCCAAGAGACTCCCCAAAATAGACAAGCTATTCCCACAGCCCTTGATTGCCTCCCAGAACTTGAAGGTATGGCCCTATTGTTGAAGACAGGACACACTTTAGACACAGGATTTGGAGCAATGAAGCTGGAACTGTCCTGGAAGCCACCTCCCCTGAAGGCTAGCTCTCATAGTTTTAAGAGTATTATGCAAGGTAATCTCTGTGAGTTCAAGGCCAACTTCGTCTACATAGTGAGTTCCAGGTCAGCTAAGGCTACAAGGAGACCCCATTTCAAAAAGACGTGCACGCCTTTAATCCCAGCACTTGGGAGGCAGAGGCAGGTGGATCTTACTGAGTTTGAGGCCAGCCTGGTCTACATAGTGAGTCCCTATAGCTGGGGCTACAGGGAGACCCTGTCTCAAAAAGACAAAAAAAAAAAAAAATTATGCAAGCAACCTGCTAAGGGAGAGCATCAATATATGGTCCAATCCCAGCTTTAAGGCTGAATAACTACATCAATGGCAGAGAAACCCTACCCACCAAGGACTCAGGGACCATTGTAGAAGAGGGGGTAGAAAGATTGTAAGAGTCAGGGAGGACGTGAATGACCATATGTAAATAAGAATCGTACGGGCACCTGGAATCTTCCTCAGATGAACCTACAGCAATGTAAACGAGAGTCCCACAGGCACCTGGAACCTTCCTCATATGAATCTACAGCAATGGCACCAGCATACACAAGACCCATGTGTGCTAGATACCTTTAGTTGTCAACTTGACATATACAGATAGAAGGATCCTCAACTGGTGAATTGCCTCCATTGGACTGGCTTGTGCCCATATTTGTGGGGCATCTTCTTGATTACTAAGTGATGTAGGAGGGCTCAACCCATAGTGAGTGGTGCCAGCTGTGGAAAGGTGGGCCTATGTTGTATGAAAAAGCAGGTTGAGCAGGGGCCAAGGGACCAAGTCAGTATGCTGTGTTCCTCCATGGCCTGTGCTTCAGCTCCTGCCTCCAGGTTCCTGCCCTGATTTTCCTACCTTGGGCTCCCTCATTGATGAACTGTGACCCAGGAGATAGAAGCCAAATAAACTGTTTCCTCCCCAAGTTGGTATTGGTCAGCGTGTTTTGTCACAGCAATCGAAGGCAAAGTAGAACACCATGCAAACTCAAGGAGACAAAACCCAGCACAGAACTGTGGAAATGAGCAGCATGCCCCAATCTTAGCTGAAGAACTACTGACAGCTGATTACTGCTGGGTGAGAAAGAGTTGATGGGTTTTTTCTTTAATTTTTTTTGGAATTTTTGTGTATTTCATACAGAATATCTCAATTAATTTTAATCATCTTTATATGCCCTTCCCCACTGGTACCCTCCCATAGCCCCCTTACTGGAATTCAGACAGTCTGTCATTTGTGTTAAGGCCTATTGTGTCAAGTTAGTGCCCCCAGTGCAAATTCATCTACTGAGGTCTAGTCAGCCTATCTAGAGTCCCTCACTTTAGGAAGATCAACTCTTCCAGTGGAATCTGACCAATGACCACTTCTGAGCTCTGTAGGCATTGCAAGACACAGGTGCACCTATACACATGCTGGCAATACACTCATACATATAATAAATAAATATAAATACTAAATAAATATAAAAAAATAACAACAACAATGACAAAAAGCCAGCCATGTATGGTGGCACACACCTTTAATCCCAGCACTCAGAAAGCAGAGGAAGGAGGACCTCTGTGAGATGGAGGCCAGTCTAGTCAACATGGCAAGTTCCAGGCCAGCTGTGGCTACAGTGAAACACTTCCTCAAAAAGACAAACAGAAACAAATGCAGGAATGAACAAAAATGAGTAAATTTTACTTTTAGTTTTATATAAAGTTACCTAAAGGAAGCAACTGGAATTTTGTAATTTAAATTAAAAACAAAAGCAAATATATCTATAAACAAGCAAGTTAACTACTTATACTTTGCTTTAAAAAAATCACAGATATTAGGCCAGTATCACAGTCTTCTTGTAACTTGAAAATGATGACACTGCTACCTTATCTTTCTGTTAATTTGTACTTAGATTCTGCACCAAGTAATGAAACTGAGGTTGTTTCTTCTAAAAAAAAAATGCTAACTGATAATAAAAGAATGTAGTTATTTTAGAATATGAATAGTTGTTTTAAACAACACTTGTTAAATACAATTATGATTAGTCACAGATGACATCCTATTCTTAATTTCTTACTTTGAAAGTTGTAGGTAAATCTTCATCATCTGTAGGATCTATGTCAAACCAACAATCACTTGTATCTCCTATTTCTTGTAAGCTTTTATGAAATTCTAGCAGTCCTCCATTATATCTGTAAGGCATTTTAAAATAAGGTTAGTCTGAATTGGACTCTGGTCATGTATAGTTTATCAGTGAGGGAACAAGAAACCCAAGTAAGATAGTGATAACCTCTAGCATGCTATAAAATACAAATACTAGGACTCTCACCTGTGGTAGACTGGGATGAAATACAGGTAGAAGGGGAGGCACTAGGTTATGTAGTAGTTCAAGCTTGAACAGTATGGGGGCCATGGTAATTTAAGGGGTGTAGAGTTGGTTGGCTTTTGTTAACTGTCTTGGAGGCCTTGAAGAAAGAGAATGACAGGCATAGGTCAGCCAACTACTAATTTAGTATATATTTTGAAAGCCAGAAGGCCTCTAAGGCAGCATTTAAATTGACTCTCATCTCCTGTAGTCATAATCTGTGCTGAAAATAAGGGTCAGATTTAGTTATAAGGTAGAAAAATCTGTAAATGTGAACAAATGCACAGCCTTGACAGGCTATTATCAACTCAGGACAATTTAGAAGCTAGAAGGATTCTATAAAATGGTAACATTTAAAGAATTCTCATGCTTTCTAGAAACAAGAGCATTTTAAATTTGAAACCTAGGACTTGGTCCTAATGGTAGGTAGCACAACTGCAATGGAGATTACAAGCACAGCCTCAACAGGACTACTGTGCTGCAATTAGGGCTTTGATAGGAAATGAGTACACCCAAAGATCTGAAATGGGGATATCACTGTGTATGTACTTAGAAACCCCAAATCTCTAAATTTTTGTTGAACAATTTGGCTAGCGATCATTTCTTCTTCCTGCTAGAGATCTGCCTCCTTTACTCAGAGATCATAAAAAAAATATCATTACTGATGTCTATCCCAAAAGAACATTATCTTTTAAAGGTATCTTTTAAAGATTAAAGAGCTTTCTCCCTCCACTCAACTGCCTTAAGACCAGTGTATCTATGGTTAGACATAAAATGGCCCAAGAGGGAAAAAATAGGTTCAGGAAGAAAAACTTTATTCACAGCAGAAATTGCACAACCTTAGTAATATGAAAGGCAGAAGAAACATGTGGGAGTGGATCTTTGAACTTGAAACCAAGGGACAAATACAAGGCTAGGTAAGAAAGTGTCTATGGACATAGGCCAACTCAGACAGAATTCAAGATTCACTTCCTTGCAGAGACACTTGAAGTCAGTCCTAACATGCTCCTATGATGGCTTACAGTAAATAAGATACAAGTGTTGTAATGTCTTGGCAGAGTACTAAATGAATCAGGAGGCTCTAGGGGTTAGAATGGTATAACTATACAAGAACATACAACACATCACTAGACTGTTACTGGAAGAGACGCTGACTATTGCAGTAAGAGATATAAAGGACATCAATGCCTTTGAGAAGCTCAGTGGTGGCTGTCCTCTATAAACCAGGAAAGAAGTAATAATTCTGTACCTAACTGGGCTTTCTAGAAAACAGGTTCTCTTCAGTGCCAATCAATAAAAGAGAAGAAAAAGTAGCTTGTTTTTATGAGGGAAGGATAGCCATACACATTTTTGTGTTGTTTCAGACTATGTTAATTTTGACAATGCTGGGCATGGTGGCACACGCCTTTAATCCCAGCACTTGGGAGGCAGAAGCAGGTGGATCTTTGTGAGTTTGAGGCCAGCCTGGTCTACATAGTGAGTTCCAGGACAGCTGGGCCTATAAGGAGACCCTGTCTCAAAAAAGAAAAAAAAAATCTTTACAGTTTCATCTTTACATTCTGCAAAGCATTGTACTAGCCTCTACCTTGATGACATCATTATAACCAGACTGAGTTATAAAAAGTTGTAAGTCTTGGGGCTGGAGAGATGGCTCAGCGATTAAGAATACTGACTGTTCTTGCAGAAGACCCAAGTTCGAATCCCAACACCCACATGGCAGTTAACAACTGTCCATAACTCCAGCTCCAGAGGATCCAACAGCCACTTCTGTCCATTGCACAACATGGGTGCACTCACCTACATGAGGCAATACATGCATACACATAAAATAAAAATAATAAATACATAAAACAGGAACGCCAGCAAATGAGGATAAATCGTAAGTACAATAAAAAAAAAATACTATGTGGATGATAATTTTAGACATCTAATGATTTTCCCCAGCAGTGATCTTTTCCTAATGATCCTTTGGTCTCAGGCAGCCATTATGTCCTTAGAGACACTTTTGATTTTCCAGACCCTTTTGGAGCTCCAGTAAAGACTTGGATCATTCACTGTATTGTCTCCATAGCTCTTTATCATGTTTCATTTTTCATTATTGAGTATTTTGATTATTTGATGAAAATCTACATCCTTCATTGTACATTCAGTTCTATGATCTGTTTTGGACAGCACTGTGTCCCTGGGATCTAGCATAATCCCTGGACCATGACAGATGCTTAAGGTAAATAAAATGAATAGTGCTAAAAAGGCTAAGACCTCCACAAAGCAACTAAATAATCAACATAGGTTCCTCTGTACAACTTCACTTTTTTAAAATATGTAATACTCAGTATTCCTCAAACTTAGTATTTGGACCTTAATATTTATTTTGTTTTTGTTATAACACAGCCTCATTGTGTAGCCCAAGCTGACCTTGAACTCATGATCCTACCCCCTCTGACTCCTTATTGCTAGAATTCCAGGTTGTGCGAGTCCATGTTCACTTCCTTTTAACTCTTATAAGGTCATTATTAATTAAATATTTATAATCAGCATTTATAAGGTACTAAATGTTTTATGTACTGGGCATTGTTATCAGTCTGTAACATTTTTATAATATATTGTTCTTAGTTCCATTTTAGAGAGAAGAAAAATCAGGTTGAGCAATATGAAATTTCTTAGGGTGAGCAATAAACAAATATATATGAATACAGGTCTGTCAGATTCTAAAGCCCATGTTCTTAATGTGGATACTGAGCTTCCTCTCATTGCCATGGTGTGTTATATTTCATATTTAATGTTTCTGACTATATGAAACTATTTGATACACGAAATTAGAAAGAAGAAAAGAACAATCTGAAAGCACAAATGTTTTGATCAGTAGCATAGTGCACACACTTGATTTCCATTTCATAAGAATAAAAGACAGATCTACCTATGCTTACCTCTTCTGAGCACATCGAAGTAAACCACGTCCAAAATAAACTAAAGACATAAAGTTTTCACAAATTTCATTTTCTTGGATCACCATCTTCATCACCAGAAATTTATTTTCTGCTTCTATACAATCCTGTAGTAAGATAAAGCTAGGTTTGGCTGGTTTGAAAAAATGTTTTTTATAATAAAAAATTATTTCTCCAACAAGAGATAGTAGGACACATTTAGCAATGATGATTCACTCATCTTGTCATTTATTAACATCTATAATTTTAGCATCTCTGCATGTGATTACAGGCTAATGTACAAAGTGTTTAAAGTATTCATTTATAAACACATGACTTTTTTTAAAAATCTTTTCATTTATTATTTTTATTTTCTGTGTATGCCTGTTTTGCCTAGGTAAGTGCACTGTGTTGTGCAGTGCTGACGGAGGTCAGAAGAGGCTGTCGGATCCCTGGGACTGGAGTTACAGACAGTTGTTAGCTGCAATGTGGGTGCTGGGATTTGAACCCGGGTCTTCTTCAAGAATAGTCAGTGTTCTTAACTGCTGAGCCATCTCTCCAGTCCCCAAACACATGACTTTTTAACCCTAGATATTTAATTAGTTTTTCAAAGTAAATTGAAAAAAATTTACTTTTCAAAAAAAAATTACTTTTGAAAAAAAATTCCTTTCAAAAGAATTTTTATAACAAAAACTGGCAAATATTGCCAGCCAAAATAGAAATTTTTCTGATGACTATTAGGGAAAATAACCTTTCATTTTTCTTCTAATTGCAGCATATACTTCTTAATTTTTCTAATTGCAGATAAGTGACTTATTGACCTTAGATCTAGTTTCTTCTAGGGGAAATCCATCTTATCTGTATGAAATATATATTCACAACTTAAGAATGGGATTAGTTCTAACATGCTGCAGTTATAATTCATTTTAAATGACATATGACATTAATCTCTCTGGGAAAGGAATAGAAAAATTCTACATGGTCTAGATAAAAATATTCTTTAGTATATCGCACTAAATAATAACTAGTATTCTGTGAAATTAGTTAAAATTAGCATATTCTCCATTTAGGTGCTTATAATTTACATTTCATCTCATTAACAAGCCTCATTTATATATTTGATTTATGAAACATAATGAATAGCATAGATTTGAAAAGAACAATACAAAAGAAATATCAAGGCTGTAAATAAATAAGACAAGCCATAAACAATCAAAAGAGAAGGAAAATGCTATATTCAAAAGAACCTTTAGAAGTTTCCAGTTAACTCTCAGATTTGTGTTCATTTATGCTTTGCTTTAACTTGACAGTGTGGTAAAACTCATATTTTACAAGAGAGATCAAGACAAGAAAGATTAAACTACACTTTAAATACATTAATGTGTACTGTATAAGTAAAAGGAGCTAAACAGGTTTCTATTTTATACAAATAATTAGCATTTAGGAGATAAATATAGCTTTAGAAAAGATAGTTAAGTATAAATTAATATTAACTCTTTCCTCTGTATTTTTAGTTTTATAATATAAATCTTCAACATAATTACTCTCCAGTATAAACATAAGAACAGAACATTATTAAATTGCTAAAATAAAACCAATGTGTATAAAAAGATTGCTAATGGGTAAATAACACGTTACATACCTCTTTCCTTCCTCTTTCAGTGAGTGCTACTCCATATAAAAACAGTAATGTCAAATAGTAACCAATATTAATTTGGTGTGCCTAAAAAAAAAAGCTAGTTGGTTATTTACACCAAGGCACTTTTCAGTTTAACAAGGTTAATGAAGTATTCCTAGATTTATTTAATCATTAAATAGTGAAAAATTTCATTTTACTGCCAATCATTTACAAATAACTATAGAAGAATGTTAGAGATGTTTGATAAAATGATCCACAAAATGAATTTGATTTATAAAGATAAAAAGCAATTTCCATTAAAATTCATTGCATTTAGTTTTTTACAAAATGCTTTCACGTTCTTGCTATATAACTTTTTAGGTATCTAGAAGACTTTAGGTAACAATAGAATGATTCATGTATCCGTTACATACTTTAAAAATATAATGATCACATATCAGTATCTTCCTTCTCCAAATACGGGTTTTATTACAAGAGCATAAATATAAAGCTTATCATTTCTTCAATGAAAAATTAGCACATAGACCTTTCTTGAGGAATATGTGGGGAAGAAAGGATGGATGTGACTCCAAAAGAAGACTGCAGCAGTGATAGAATCACACTTTTATCTTCATTATGAAAATGCTAAAAACAAATACATACTTGAGATAAAATACCATAGAAACACACATTTTGGTGGATTAAAAGATTAATGCAGCTCACTTAAGATTGATGTTCTTTTTGTTTGTTTGCTGTTGTTGGTTTTTGTTGTTGTTGTTGTTTTTGAGACAGGGTTTTCCTGTAGCCCCAGCTGGCCTGGAACTCACTAAATAAGACCAGGCTGGCTTTGATCTCACAGAAATCTGCCTGCCTCTACCTCCTGGGTATTGGGATTAAAGGTATGCACCACGACACTCAGCTTAAGATTGCAATTACTTATTATTATTTTGTGTATATTTTATGTATGCTGACACATGCATGCAAAGGTCAGAGATTGGTTCTCTTCTACCTTTATGTGTTTCAGGGATCTAGGATCAGGTTTACACAGCAACTGCTTTACCTGCTGGCCCTGTGACTAGTATTCTTATTAAAACTTGTTTGCAAGGTTCATCTTTGGCTGGTATCTGGGAATCTGGGTTCCAGTTATGTTCCCATAATACGCTAACTGATAAGGATAGCTCACTCTATGTTTGTGCAAACAATGCAATTTTTGGTGAACACCTGAGAGATTCTTTTGGGGATATATAATTTTGAGGCACCCTAGGTAAAGTACATCCTGTAACCAATCCCAATAAAAATGTAAAATGCTCTGTCTCTAATGGACTACCCTGAACAACAACAAAAAAGTCTGTGCAAAGTAAAGGACAAGATACAGAATTACGGGAACGCCATAATTACAGGGTTAAAAATTCTAAAAATTTAATTACAGAAGTAGTACATTTGAAACCTAAAGCACTTGTCTGTCTAGATCTCACACCAGCTAACAAGGATGGTTCAGATGATATGAACAAAACAAAAATAGAGATGTTGGCAACTCTTATTACACTTAACTCATTCTTGAACATCTGTTGCTTAGCACAAGGTAGTCTCTTTCCTCCTTGATAGTCTACAGTGATAGAAGAACCATTTGACTAAAACAGTAGGCTGCTTTGCTCATGACTATTATAATTTAGTTCACTTCCATTTCTTGGACTAAGACCCATCTACAAAGTAATGGCTCAGAAGAGATGGGTGACTAAGCAATGAGCACCCAACAATGTTGATTATATTATGGCTCATTTTACAAATTTGCAATCTGGTCACAGAAAAATATTAAGTATGCAGCATTTCCGAATTTCTTGGGATAACTACAACAAATTTCTTTTCTTTGTTTCTTTTCTTTTTTGGAAGCTATTTGGAGTATCGTTTAGAGTACTGTATATAACTTGTAAATAATAACTTGTAATATAAATTCTAAGAAAAATACGTATAGTTTAGCTCCTTGCACATCATTATAGTATGGAACTTAGTGTCTTAGGATGCCTTTTATGATGCCTAAGTAACCCTTTTCTTCTTCTACCTGCATGCAAAACTCAATTTATTTAAACAAGGTATGATTTCCTTTCATTGTTGGTCTTGTATCATTAATTATATTTTTTATGCAGTTTCCCACAGGTTTTTCTATTGGTTAAAATATCAGTTAATGCCAAACACATAAATCTATTTTGTCAGTTTTACTTAGAGCAGAATATAGAAACATTAGAAGAGGCTAGTAAATAAGAAAAAAGGGAATATAGTGTTTTCTCTTTCATTTTTATATACATATGTTTATCATAAACAACATATTTTGCATTATATACCCACTGTAGATCAAGCTCATTTGAATTACATATGCATTGTAGATCAAGTTCATTTGCATATGAATGGCCTTACATATTTATCATTTTATGTTAAAATATAATCTACTCAGCATGTTTAAGAATTCCATACATTGTTATTAACTATAATCATCTAATTGAAATTATATGTATCTGACTAATATACCCTCAACTCTCCCCACTGGCATAGCCCTGGTGACCATCACTCTAGTCTCTATCTGTTACAAATATACATTTAATATTTTCAGATTCCACATTCCACATATATTTGTGTGTCTGTGTCTGATTGATTTTATTTTCATGGCTGTTTCTAATTCAGAAAGCCCATTTCCACCAGTTCAAGTTTCCTTAATCTATGGATAAACGAGTTTTAGATAGGGAATGTGAAAATAAGCTCATTATAAAGATGCGTCGCATAGAAAGCATAAGGCACAGAAAGGGAACTGAAGAGATGACTCAGCAGGTAAGAGCAGCGGCTGCTCTTGTAGATGACCTGAGTTTGGTTCCCAGTACCTCCATGGTGGTACACAATCACCTGTATCTCTAGTTCTAGGGGATCTGACACTCTCTTCTGGCCACTGTAGGTACCAGGCATGCACATGGTGCATATACATACATGTAAGTCGAACACTCATACAAATAAAATAAAAATAAATCCTTTAAAAAAGACACAAAAGGCCATATATTTATCTGTACTTTTCTACAGAAGTAAAAATGGAAAATACAAAAAGGCATGTGCTGTTAATCTCCATGAAAAGTGCTATCCAAGCACAATATTTCAAACTTTCAAAGCAAACAACTCACGGTATAACTAGTAGCTTGAATGTTCCTAAGTGCTGTTTCCAGTTGTGTTATCAAAAAATGTAAAGTTAAAGCAGGAACAATTTCTTCCTCATTCTGGCTATTATCTGCAGCTTCTCTCTGTGGAGAATAATTAAGATGAAAATTTCTTTTAGGCAGAATATCTACATATATTATATTTAAAAATGCATACTCCTAATAAGAAATTTAGAAAACAAAGATTTTTTAAAATTTACCTTAAAAATATACACTATTTTCACATTTGTTTATTGTTAAACAGTTTGATGAATCTCCTCTGTAGCTAGTTTCTCAAAACACTAGGGGAAAAACAAAAAAAGCATTCTTTTCTCTATCAAGCAAGAGGCTGGCAATATGTGCTACTACTTTAGAGGAAAGTATAAATATCACTTTCTTCTAATCCCTTCAATTTTCTAGCACAGGTAAAATCTTTCATCCCTGAATCTGAGAAACAGGATTATTAACATCTGTGCCTACTACAATCTGGAAGTGAGCTATGCCTATATATACTTTATTATGTACCATAATTTTTTTATTAATGTGGATGCAATGAAAGGAAGGGCTATCTTTGTGTCTATTCCCAACCCAAAGCTTCTTACACAGAAGCACGAGGCTGAAAGTATATTTCTGTCTAGTGATACATAATCTTTGTAGAAAGTTTAACTTAGACTTCTTAGTTTTTAGTAGGAATTTTTATTTTTCTCTTAACTAGAGAGTTTATTTCAGTCACCCCAGCAGTCAACCTAATTAACTCTTTTCTATTAGCATACATTCCTTAGATAAAATAATCTGCAATCATGTTTTAAAATAGTATCTACAAATGGAAAGTTCCCATATTTATATTTCTAGGTTAAAAATATCACATGAACTACAGATTCATACACTCAACCATTAATTCAACACTTAGGTCTTAAAACTGAACAGACATATAACACTAGAGTTACACCTGTCCAACAGTCTAGGTAGCTTCAGTGTAGTATTCTCAATGAAAAAAACTGAAGAAGTGTATGAAACATAAAAATTATTTATTTAAAAACAATCAGAATAGCCAAGGCACTGAAAAATCTCTGGCACCAACACAGCGGAAAGAAGAAAGGCCCAGACCCAGAGACTCACTTTTATAATCACCATTCCACTTAAAGCAGATGCCATGTTGAGCTGCGGCTCAGAAGCTAGGCAGAGCTTTCAGGTTGGCCCAACTAGAGGAAATCAGTGTGCCGGTATCAATAAAGAAGGGCTCTAGCTGACACACTGCTCTTCTGACTGAACCTCTCATATAGGGAAAGAACAGCTAGTTTCTGATATTTGTGTGTGTTCTGTCAGATTAGCATTGATGATAAAATAAAAACAGATTAACTTTGAAAATTTTTCACTATGCTCTAGATCCTGTACTGTCAAATATTCATCCAAGATTTAATAATTCAGGCAAACATAAATATATCTATCTCAGTATGCAAATTTGCTTTTTCTTTAATAAATGGCAAAATTAAATGAATATTTAGGAAAACTGTCTTATGATTTATTATCATTAAATGTTTGATTACCATTATACATGTAAACTTCTCAGGTGATCAGTGGTTGCAAGGAAGGTATTTAAAATGCTCTAATCTACTATATGCTTTCTACAGAATTTATTTTCTTAATAAATACAAAAGTTCACATATATTTTTACCTTGTATTTTTGAAAAATTTTGTCAACATTTTACAAATTAGGAACCCAAAAATGGTCCCTTGCCCAGAAATGGCACAGTTATGGGTTATTTGTTGAATCAAAATAAACACTAAACCTTACAGTATACAACTACAAACCCACATTCCTACTATTAGTTTTAAAAATTTAGCAACAACTTA